AGCCGGCCTGCAGACGTGAAGCTGCATGAGTCAGGGCAGCCAAAACCAACACCCCCCTCGCATATCGCCGTCCCGGACAGGGCCTTTGTGCTCGTTACGTGAAGCCGAAGAAGATGGCCGGAAGCATAACATAGGGGTCGAAGGAGTGCTCTTGCAGGTCGGCATCAGCGGCGGCAAAGTCGTGGCAGTGCACGAGGTGAGTTGCCGTTGGAGTGGGCAGGCTGCCGTGACCTTCTATGAGGCACTGGTCGTGGCCGGGCCAAGGCGTGGCCGGGGAAGCGCAAATACACGATCGTGGAAGGCAATGATCCGACGGGATACAGGTCTGCAAAAGGCACGCAACTCGCCACTCGCCGCCTTTTTGTTGTTAGTGTCTCTAGTGATTGGTGTCCTTGTGCTCCTTGTGTGCGTGCACGTCTGCAGGTCGGGCAACAAAGTGCAGGGAAGATGGACGTTTTGGAGACCTGTCGTGGCTGGACTTTGCGGTGTGGAAGGAGGTGAGCAGATGCGGCGCAATCAAGAGAAGTCTTTGCCTAAATCCACGACAAAGCTACGTGCGACGTCTGAAGCGCACGGTCCGCAACCTCCCAGTGGAGTTTCTGGAAAGCATCATCGGAGACATAGCTCACCATTGTCAAAGGCTCCAAGAGGCCAAGGGCAACTTCGAGGACGGCGGCCATGGCCGGTAAGATTGCTGAGCCATGCCGCTGGGCCGCCGCTGGGTGACAAAACGTTGACAGCATCTCTTGCTGCTCAGGCCTTGTGCTTGGTTTTGATCGCATGTGTTCTAGGGCCACAGCACGTGGGCCTGGCCGGTCCCTGGCCGGACAGCTCGGGCGATGCCCTTGGACTACCCTGTGCAGGACGCTAACCCACGAAGCGGTGGGGTCAGCCAAGCTGGAGGCGCAGAAACTACTCGTTTTCTTCATGTCGCGTTGACGCTCAGCGCCGTCTCGCGTTGGCAATAACTCAAGTTGTCGCGATGATACAAACAAAGACCTCCGTGGAGGCAGTCGGGCCTTGAACCTTAAATCGCGGAAACCCTTAAACCTTAAACAGTAGTAGACCCTGGGTGCCCGAAGCCCTAAACCTTATGTTGAGTCATTAAGGTTTAGGGTTTCGGGTTTAGGAATCCACATCCCCAAACACCGACACGTTTATGTACCTCAACTACGCCTGTGTCGTAAGACCTTATTTCCGAAACTGAAACCTGAACATAAGCGCTCTGCTCCAAAGCATGCCCTCAGTCCTCAATCTTGAACCGTAAACTTTTCCTGCATTCTAAACAATACACCTTACTTTATGCCACCTACACCCTATTCCTTACACCCAATACCCCGCTCTCCAAAACGTTAAACCTCAAACCGGACACCCCAGCGGAGCCTGTCACGGCCCAACGGCGCCCACAGGATCCGGTGTGCCCCAGTCTATACAAGGTGCTGCCTCCCGTGGCTTTAGGAACCTCAGGCTCAGGGTCGCCCAGGGCTGGAGCTTTCGGAATGAGTGTTCAGGGTCGCAGATTGGAGAAAAGCGTTCGGGGTGGCTTTCGTGACTTGGAGCATGGTGCTCGCAGTGCTTAGGGCTGAGGGTGCGAGTTTTTTAGGTTTTTCTATATTTGTTGGGTGGTAGTTGCTCATTTTGGGAGTACTGGGGCAAAGGCAGGGTTCAAGGTAAGCTTGTCCGGAGTCGCGGTATCTTTCGCGTTTTGCATGTAGTTTATTGCAGCAGTTACAAGGTTTTTGTCGAGGTTGTCTTTGGGAATTCTTAGGGGTACTTAGAAATGATTTTTAATTTTTGGTTATTATAATCCCTAAGAAACAGCTAAAATATTATATAGTTTTTGCTAGGATTCTAAGTTCAGTATACAATTGATGGCATAGGATCTGTAGCTACACGTATTGACGTATTGCTATCATGATTCTGCTGCCGCAGCTAAGAGGAATTTCTTTTGGTAGGTCGGTGTTTTCCACAACAACAACAACTACTACTACTACTACTACTACTACTACTACTACTACTACCGTCTGACAAAAATCTCGAGGCTTGTGCTACGACCGAGGTAGGCCCCTCGCCTTTAATCCTAAACTTCATCAGACCTTCACTAAACCGCAAGCTGATTTGCCGACCAGGTGTCGACTCCAATTCCACCACGCGAAGTTGTTATAACTGCTTATAGGACTAATAGTAATAGTAATCAAGTTAATAACTTAGCGACAATAGCAGTAAACGTAGCAACAATAACAACATGTTTTGCAGCGATGCGGCATGCGTTCTTAGTGCATGACGGCATTGGCCGTGCAAAGGGCTCACGGCACAACTCTAAACCCCAAGCCCTCGAATCCCAAGCCCCAAGTGACAAGGACCCTACATCCCACGCTCGCCCCTGTCGGCTTGGCATCATTTGCTCACTGGCTTCAGCTGCGGGGTAGAAGTCACCATGCAGGTTTTAAGGTTTTAGGATTGAGACAAGATGGCACTTCAATGTGAAGCCAGCCCATAAGTGAGTCCTGCAACTGCCTGAATCGTCAGCAGGATTCGAGGATGAGGCTCTCCACCAACGCTTATGATAGATGGAGCCCGCAAGCCCCCGCTGGATGCCATCGTTGCTTGCTGGAGGTCTTCGCCGGTTGCGAGTACATCACACCGGAAGCCTGTTCAAAATTGTCCAAAGCCCTAAACCCTAAACTCTTTCACCACATTTTCGCCAAAAGCTCGAAGCCCCACACCCCAGCAACAGAACCCCGAAAGCTGACGCTCCCATGCCTAGCCATGGCCCTGGGTCAGCCTCCTGTCGGTGATGACGGGCGTCCCCTGAGGCACAGCCCGGGCAACTCAGAGATTTGGCTTTGGAACTAAGGCATTGAGGCTCCGGGCATAAGCATGCGGGATTAGAATGACTAGGACCCAAAGGAGGCCCTTATTCCCTTTTTTAGGGCTTATGTTCCCTTTCTACACCCTTTGAACCAAAAAGGGCACCCTTTTTATTCCTAGGTTACTGTTAGGTTTAGATGGGAGTTTCCGAATATTAGGGGTACCTTATTTGGGGTCCTCATAATAAGGATCCTACCATTTAGGCTAGTCTAGTAGGGTCCCCTATTTTCGGAAACCCCCAGATAACCCTGAGAGCTGAGGGCTTGGGGTGTGTAAGTTCTGCTCCTAGGGATGCTCATTGGAATGTTGCGTTACTTCTACGACCCTGAACCCTAAATCCTACCTTAACCTACAAAACCCTATTTTTTGTAGGTTCTCAATATAAACCCTAATATCGGGTTTATAGGGACCCTACAAAAAAGTAGGTTCTGGTAGGTTAAGGTAGACCTTAAGCCCTCTGGGTCTAAGGACCAAAAGGAAAAGCAGAAGTCCTAGTTGTCATACCGCACCCCGAAACTAAACTGAAGGGCCAAAGCTTGAAAACAAAAGACAAGAGATCAAACTCCGCAATCTAAATCAGCTTTCTGTCATTCTGTGAACTCCCAAAGGGTCCAAACTCTAAACCCTTACTCTGTAATCCTGAGACCCGTGAAGTCCTGACCGTACGTCCTAAACCCTAGACTCTAAGCCCCAACCCCTAGACTCTAAGCTCCCAACCCCTTTATAGAAACCTTATAGATGCCTTCCCTAAACCCTCTTAGATCCCTTAAAGGACCCTAAGCCATAAACTCTAGACCCTGCAGCCTTAGAACCTAAACCCTAAATCCTTTAAACGCGACCCTACAGCCCTAAAACCTAAAACCCTAAATCCCCTAAAGGACCCTGCAGCCCTAAACCCCTAAACCCTATAACCCCCCCTAAAGGAAGCCCTTATAGACCCTTTTTAATGAACCCTATAAAAACCTGTATAGATCCCTTTAACCCTAAAGCTTTCTGGGTTTGCAACCCCGCGAGGCTGACGCGAACGGCCTGGGCCCGAGAAGCTCTTGGAGGTATATACTAGGATGCCCAGTAGTACCCTTATTCCTTTTTAAAGGGATCTATAAGGGTTCCTTAAAGGGGTCTATAAGGGTTCTATAAAGGGTTTAGGGTTTCCGAAAATTAGGGCCTAGGATGCCCAGTAGTACCCTTATTCCATTTTTGTAGTCCTAGGTTCCTTATAAAGTTACCCAATACCAAAAAGAGAGGCCTTTTTATTCTTAGGTTACTGGGTATCCTAGTATAACTAGTAGCTTACTAGTAGCTTTAGGGTGTAGAGTTTAGGGCTTTCAGGGTTTAGGGTTGAGTAGTAGCTTTAGCAGAGGGTTTGGGGTTTACGGTTTAGGGTTTGCGGTTTAGGGTTGTCGTAGTAGTAGTCGTCGTCCTCGTCGTCGTAGTAGTAGTCGTCGTCCTCGTCGTCGTAGTAATAGTCGTCGTAGTAGATGGTACAGGATTCAGGTGGTTTTCGGGCTGTGGGCTGTTGGGATCTGGGGTTTTGCGGCTTTGTATTCGTCAAGGCGCCAAAGGATTATAGTAGAACCGAAGAGCGCTGGAACGTGAAATTAGAGATGGAGGTTTAGTGGGTTCATCATTGAGTTCAGGGGGGGTGCCGAAAATGCTCGAGGACTTGATATGCAGGATAATGTAGGAACCTGATTAAGAAACCTTGGGCCTTTAATAGTATTCCGGATTCGGGTTCAGGGCTCAGAGCTTTGGGTTTAGGGTTTAGGTTCCTACATTAGACCTCCGAATACATTACATCCTAAAGTCTGAACCCATAACTCTACACCCTAAACTCCACCCTAAGTCCTAACCCCAAAGACCATGGTCGGGAAAGAAGTCGGAGCCGTGATGGTGAGTAACTGACTGAAGAGTACGAAGTCGCTGTTTGTGAAGATGGGCACTCTGAGAGGGGATCTTTTCTCTGTTGTCTGTTACAGATTTGGTGCAAGCCCGGATTAGGGCAGGTCACAGACCTTGTTCGTGCGGGAGAAAGGCCACTGCATCTTAACAAAAAAAACCCGCTTTGGTTTGGGGATCTCAGGGCAATGGGTTTAGGGTTTCCGAATGAGGGTGCTTCTGACTCGAGGATGGCAGAGTCCAGCGCCTCGCTTTTGCCATGGGCCGGAGTGGCCCTGGCCTCGGCCCAGGGCGATGGGGCACGGGGATTGAGGATTGGAGTTCATGTAATGTGGGGGCCTAAATGCTTACCAATGCTATCGCAGGGCTTCCTTATTATAATTGTAGTATACTGGGCCCCAAACCCTAATCCAATTACTAAGGCCCCTACATTATCACCTATCCAGCCCTAGTATTGCAGCTTGGACCAAGTTTCTCCTTTAAACCACCCATCTCAGTTACAATCATGCTTGTCACGAAGAGCCCTTCTTTTAAAGTGCGCTTCAGTTTAAACTGCGGGGTGGGTTTGGTCTTGCAGCCGAAGTGCCCTGAGCCCTGATTTGCTCGCGTACTTCGTCAATCGTCCTCAGCACACTGTTTTGTCGGTGGCTTTGTGTGTGATGCAAAGATTAGCACTTCGGGCGTAGGGGTTCAGTTTGCGGCTACTCAGGCTCAGGGTTTAGGCGGCTCAGGGGTTAACCAGAGGTCAGGCTTACGCGTGGGGCTTAGGAAAGCCATTTGGGTCTCCGCACTCAATGACCCAAATGAGTTCTACCAACGTGCATTGATTCACGCCGCCATGCTATTCCGATGCGATCCCTACGCCCGAAATCCACGCACTAAAATTGTAAGTCGTGGTAGCCAGAAGTGCCTAGAAGGGACACCAACCTCGCAGCGCATCAGACACCAGCCACCCTGCGACAGTGCCGTAGTATGGCGGTTTATGGATTTGAGATTGAGGAGTTTAGGGTTTGGGGTGTAGAAACTCAACCTCCCTCTCCGAATCATGTGCGGTACCCCTAAACCGTAAATCCACTTAGTTCAGGGGTACCTGTCTTCCGCAGCCCAGGACGGGAGCTCACGGCCTAGCCGAAGCAGAGGCCTAAATAAACAATTACATATACCATTTAGTTTTTTGGGGGTTCCTTATTATGATATAGTGTATTGGGCCCCAGAACCCTATTTTAATTATTAATGCCCCTATATTAGAGGCCTTACCAACACTCTTCCTTAGGGTTCCTTGTTACAAGTATACTAGGGCCTCGAAACCCTCTTTTTATTATTAAGGCCCTTCTATTACCTCCCGCCAGCTCCCACCCCAAACTCGGGCTGGCTCTTCGCGCCCCTGTTGCAATGACTTCTTCTCAAGATAATCACCAGGCTGGGCTTTGCTGGCAACTTAGAACCCAATACAGCAAAAGCCAGAAAGTTGGAATATGATTCTCCTAAACCCTTTATGGTAAATTATAGGGTATCCTACCCTGAAACCATATTCCAACTTTCTGTAGTTCCCTTTAAGTACCACTATTACATGATTCCTTGGGGTTCCTAGGGTATTTTCCCGTAGTTTCACTCTAGTCAACCCTGGACCCTGTTCCACTTTCAAGGCCCCCATAGTGAGTTACTAAACCCTTTTGGAACCCTTATAGTCGTCCTTATAGCAACCCGTGAAAGGAAGCCTTTTTAAGGCCTCTAAATTCCATATTAGCATCCTGGAAAAGCTTCGAAGCCGCGGCCTGCTCAGGCCTTACGGTTGAGCTAAGAGAGGGCTTTGGGGATTTTGGGGTTCAGGCGGTTCAGGCTTTACGGTCTAGGGTTGCAGACAGGTTTTGGACGTTCGGGATCCGAAACCCTAAAGCCTAAAGCCTGAACCTTGCGGGTTTAGGTTTTAGGGTTTAGGGAACGACACCTGGACTTCAGCTTCCAAAATCTCCAGCCAAAGAGACGGTTACTTCTGTCGAGCTGCACACAGAGTGCCTCAGCAGCTCTCCGACCACCTGCATAACCCGTGTGGGTTCAAGTTCATTACCACCATTTTTTCCTTAGGGTTCCTTGTTATAACCTATATTGTAATATATCCCAATTGCAATGTCGATGTGACGGAGTTTGTGCCCTTCAAGGTCTTTGAACGTCATGGGTCCCGTGTAGGCTTTTGCAGGGTCAGTGTGACTAAACTAGTGTGCGCCATGCAAAGACCAAGCTCGAAACCGTGCAGCCGCGCATGCCAAAGCCAAGTTCGAACTTCAACTCTAACCCCCTGAGCCCTACACACCGAAATCCGAACCCTAAACCCCCATGAACGGCTTCAAAGACTGGGATGGGATACGGGGGCCCCAGTCATGACTTCCTTTATTGTAATGATACCTTAAAACATCCCCGCCCTTCTTTAGGGCTCAGGGTTTAGGGTTTAGGGGTGCCCTATAGTAACTCTTGAAAGGAAGCCTGTTCTAGTCGTCAAGGCCCTTATATGGGAGTTTCCGAAAATACGGGACCCTAATGCAGCACCCTAAATAACAGGATCCTTATTATAAGGATCCCAGAATAAGGTACCCCTAATGTTCGGAAACTCCCATGTCACCTTCAGCATTCCAGAAGCCCTTGCAAGGCTCTTCCTCCGAGCCACAATCAGCCGACTTGGAGGGACGAGGACCTGCTGGCATGAGCCTACTTGGAGGATCATGGGACTTAGTAAGTATGGTTATAAGTACCTTAATTGGGGTTAGATGTAATTATAAGTATAGTAGCCTTAGCTTTAGCCCTAGTTACTAAGTCCCGTGATCCTCTAAGTATGTCTACCTTAACCTACCAGAACCTACTTTTTTGTAGGGTCCCTCTAAATCCCATATTAGGGTTTATAATCAGAACCTACAGAAAAGTAGGGTTTTGTAGGTCTAGGTAGGTATAAGGACTGAGAGTTTCAGGGTTGAGGGTTTAGGGTTATGGCGGCTGCCGTGAGAACTCAGCAGCAGCAGCCTTTATTATGAGCATGGTGATGCAGGTCGCGGTGATAGAGGTGGTGGTAGTGGTAGTAGTCGTGTTGGTGTTGGTGCCTCTGCTGCGGATACTGCTTGTCCGGCTACATGTACGACCATCTGCACCCCTACTGCCGCGACTATCCGCAATTACCGCCGAGAAAAGCAATCATTCCAGACTCCTGAACTAAGCCGGAACGGAAAAATGGTCAAGCCAGTGATTGCAGTAGCAGCGAGCTTGGCAATTTTTCGGCTTGCAGTGGTTTTCAACTCTGAGTTTTCGGCTCTTGGCCGGTCGTGGGAGTTTTGGGAGAGCTTCTTTAGGGTTCAGGGTTGGGGTTTAGGACTAAGGGTTTAGGACTCAGGGTTAGGGTTTAGTAATTTAGGGTTCAGGGTTACGGTTTAGGGTTTAGAGCCTTGGGGTTTAGATATTATCAGGTTTAATCTGGCATCGTCGGCATGGTTCCGGGTTAGGGTCCTCGCAGCCGAAATGCTGTAACCCGCAGCCCCGAAGCCTTGAACTCCGAATCCAGGCTCTCTATCCCGAACCCTACCTTAAGGATCGTGGGACTTAGTAAGTAGGGTTGAGGGAGGGTTCTATAATAGGGTTCCTTAAAGGGATCTATAAGGGGTCTATAATGGGAGGATCATGGGACTTAGTAAGTAAGCTTATAAGTACCTTAACTGGGGTTGTAAGTAGTTATAAGTATAGTTACCCTAATTATCACCCTAGGCCCTAGTTATTAAGTCCCATGATACTTCAAGTATAAGATCTGTGCCATGTTAGGGTTTAGGGTTCAGGGTTTTCCAAGCTCTACAAGTAACACACCGTGAGGTTCTTTGAAGGGTTACTTCCGACTTTGTTGTTTTGAGGGTGATATGATGTTGATGCTTCCCGTATCCCTTCGGGCTCGGGTAGCAGGGTCCCAGGTTTTCAATCTGAGCACTTTCGTTAGTGGTGCCCATCTTCAACACTGCTTTTGCCCAAACCCTCAAGCTCTACATGCAGAATCGGAGGCCTCCAAACCCTAAACCCCTAAGCCCCTAAACCCCACACCCCTCCATCCCCCAAAAGACTTCTAGACCCCTCAACACCCAAGAGAAGTGAGGAAACGGCTGCAATCGGCCCGCCGTCGGAGCGATTCTCCGGCTCCTGGGTGGGAGATCTACAGCCTATTGGGTGGTTCAGGGTATCGAGATTTTAGGGGCTAGGGTTCAGGGCTTTGGGCTTTTAGGGTTTCGGGTTTAGGGTTTTCAGCGTTTCGGATTTAGAGTTTTGGGGTTTAGGGTTTAGGGTTCAAGGTATCTATAAGGGTGCCGATGAGGGTTCTTTTAAAGGGATTGGAAGGGCTCCTATAAGGGATTCGAATTTCGGGCTTAACTTAAGAAGGACTTGGGTAGTTAAGAGTCCTAGACCCTCAAGCCGCAAACAACGCAGAGCCCAACTTGTTCCCGAACTTCCCGGATCTAATCTCCATGTCCAGAAACTCGGTACTGAGAACGGAAAACCTCAGTCTGTTCAGCTTCAGACATCGTTCCGATGATTCGAGAGCGCAAGGGTCCACAAACTCGAATTCAGATGCCGGTTTGCTCCAGCAGAAGCTGTGAAAGTTCAAGGGTCTAACATACGGAGCTTCGAAAGCTCGCAGCTGTCTTTCTGGCTGCTCCAACCGTACAGGTTCACACGTTCAAACCTGCGAGCCTGATCAAGCCCACATGCTTGGTCTTCACAGTCTCCCTGAACCCTAACCCCTAAACTCCCTAAACCCCAAACTCCCTAAACCCTGCCCTAAACCCCAAACTCCCTAAACCCTAAAACAACTCTAAACCGAAAACCCTATAGAAAGGCCCGCCGGACTTGAAAAAAGCAAGCGAAAACCTTAATACAGGGGCCTTAATAAATAGAATAGGGTTTTGGGGCCGCCCATTAAGGAGCCCCCCAAAATAGTATAGGTAATTATTCAGGCCTCTAACCCTAAACCCTAGACCCTAAACCTTAAACCCTAAAACCCTAAACCCCTCTTGTAGTGTAAGCCGACTTGGGCTGGATCATTTCGCAGAAAGGGTCCATTGCACTTTAAAACAAACAACCCTAAACCCTAAACCCCTTGCGCCTAGTATAGGAGTTCTAGCTGTACCTGCAGGTGGAAAAGGGCCCTCAAAAAACAACCTTGCGCCTTCGGTCTGAGGATCTTTGCTGGAGACTGCAGTGAAAGCGGAGTCGAAAGCATCTCCGATCCACTCGGAGGCAACTGGGGGTCGATTGCTGGGATTCCTTTAAAGGGCATCTATAAGGGGTCCTTTAAAGGGGATCTATAAAGGGTTCCTATAAGTGTTCTATCAACAGTGTTTAAATTTAGGGGTTGAGGAGTTTATATAGGGGTTGAGGGGTTGAGGGGTTTAGGGTTTAGGGGCTGAGGGGTTTAGGGTTTAGGGGCTGAGGGGTTTAGGGTTTAGGGGTTCAGGGTTTAGGGGTTAGGTTTAGGGTCATTATCAGTGCTATCCTCGCTAATCTGCTCTCGGCCTCATTCCCTTTATTCTTACTGCGCTTGTGAGTTCTGTTGCTGCTGCTGCTGCTCCTGCTGCTTATGCTGCTAATTACTGCTACTGCTTCCGCCACTACTACAGCTACAGCTGCTCCTCCTCCTCCTCCTCCTCCTCCTCCTCCTCGTCCTCCTCCTCCTCCTCGTCCTCCTCCTCCTCCTCCTCCTCCTCCTCCTCCTCCTCCCTCCGATTCCGTCTACTACTCTAGCCAGTGCAGCTGCTAGTTATCACAACAACAACTGTCAGAAGTAGTGGCACCATTACTCGATGGAGCACAAGCGTTTGAGCTTACGTCCAAGTTTCAGTAGAAATCGAAGGCTACTGACTGCTTCCTCTGGTCCTGTGCACACGGGCCCCGCTGCAGCACCGGCTAAGGAAGAGGCTTCTGGCTCTAGATTCTAGCTGATACATGTGATAAGTGCGTGTCGCAATGGGTACGTCAATGAATGCACTCACTGCTACACGGTTGGGATCATTGGCCCACATGGTTCTGTGAACGAGAGTTTAGGTGCAATTTCCCCCCTCATAAGCTGCTCGCTGCTTGCTCATAGCTTCCCACTATGTTCTTCAACAGAGATCTTACAAGCGATAAGATAGCCGTTCTGGCGAATAGCTAGATAGTGCAAGGTAGCAGCCGCAATGGCACGGACCCTGCGTAGGAAACTTAGTTTGTTCAGCATTGCACATCCTTGTTCCATTCATCTTCGCTTGGAGGCTCAAGGGGACTGAAGTTGCAAGTGTTGTGAGAGCTCCTACTATTTGGACAGCTGTTGTTAGGGTACTTCGCTACCACCAAACCCTAAACCCTAAACCCTCAATCCTCAACCCCGAACCCTTAACCGTAGCTCACTCCCTTGATCCTTCAAGTTGTCATCAGAGGCTCGAGGAGGCCATCGATGCGTCACGTGGAGTTGGCAGAGGCCTGGTTCTTCCGTCTGCTCATTGAAAAGGCACCATACGAAAAACCTCTCTAAACCCGTACAGAAACCTTGTAAGAATTTGGTAGAAAATCTTTAAAACTTTCGAGAGACCTTAAAATGGATCCACCGGTTGTCAGGGTTTCGGGCTTTGTGGTTTGGAGATCGGGATTGTGGATCAGGGTTTAGGATCAAACGCCTTTCTCATGAAATCTCTAAAACGTATCCCCAAACTCTAAGTCCCAGAGATGCCCCTAAAGCAGCCAGAACTTTCAACAGTTACCTTAAAGATGAACGCCCCGCACCCTTAAGCTCAATGCTTACATATAGGGGCCGGAATAACTACAAACTCTTTGTCATTGGGGTGCCTCGCTAGGGTATTTGCACCCTACAAATACACCCCCAAGCCCGTTCCTAGTCATGAAGTCCTTTTACGAAGTCCCCTAAGCCCCAAGTCCTTACAGCCCCAAGTGCTTCACCCAAAGGCCATGGCAGCCTAAAGCTTAAGTTCCACAAGACTCTCCGGCTTCACATGGGGGCTTGTGGTTTAGGGTTAACCCCAAATCTTCCCTAAGAAGTAGTAGTAACAACAGCAGCAGCAGCAGTAGTAGACTCTCCACCCCCCAACATACCCTAGTGCATTGGCAAGGAGGCGCGCCGAAGGACTGAAGAAGGTCGAGGAGGCCCCTGCCACAGAAGAACTATAAAGCGGAAGTGCGGCGCAAGATGGGCTTGGGGCTGTTTCACATTGGGTTTAGGGTAAGGCAGGGTTCAGCGTCTAGGTGTGTCGTTGCGGTCGTAGTATGGCAGCATGCGCGCAGAAGCAGGAGCAGCAGAAGCAGGGGCAATACTCGTCGTCGTCGACGCCGTGATGACGAGCACGAGTAATAAGGAACAGCAGGTGAAACAATAGCAGTAGGAATACCAAGCGCTGACTAACTTGAAAGGAAGGAAGTTGAGCAGCAGTATGTAAGTTGAGCAGCTTACTGTTTACAATAAAGCCGGAAGTCAACACTAGGTACCGAACGACGGCGCAAAGGCCAACTGCAGTGATACTCATCTTTGAGCTTGATACGGTTTCAAGGTTTTTGGAGCTTGAGAAACCTTGATGTTTGGAGGTGTTGAGCATTGCTTTTTCTGTTCTGGTTTGGGGGTTGGCGCCCAGGAGTTGAGGTATGCAGCGAGTCCCAAAATGGGTCCTAAAACCGCAACCTTAGGATTCTGTTCGGGCCAGGCGTCCCGATTCGGCAGTGGATGCAAGCCGAGAGATATCGGGATCATCTCTTCTCCTTGTCGCAGGCCTGGGTTTACGGGCCTCTCTTGGCTTTTCCAGTGCAAAATGCAGAAGGGGCTCAATGTGGAGGGTTTGGGTGTGCTGGACTTGAGCTTAGGCTTCTGGGTCCTTGGACCTCATGTGTTGTAGACGTGGTTCACCGACGTGAAGCACTTCTGCGCATGGTATTCGAGCGTAGAGTGGCCTAAGCAGACAGGATTAGAGGAGTTTCCAAGCTCCATATAACCGTTTCCAAGCCCGTCCAGTTTGGGGTTAGAGGGTTACGGTTCGGGTTTCGGTGTTCAGCTTTGGGGTTTCGGATCTCGGGTCTGTGGTTCAGGGTTATCTGGGGGCAGCAATCCTCATCAACTAACATCTGAGGCCTTCATGAAGGGATGATCCTGTCATATTGGAATATATGTTCTTACTACAGGCCTTGTTGCTACGAGTGTAGGAACCTGGATGGTTAAGATACCCATCACATTGTAATGTTTTCAGTTCCCCCGAAACCCTGTTCTAGCTGTTAAGCCCCGACAGTTGCTCTACCCTGAGGCTCCATAGTAGTTCCTTTTTGGGGTTCATCTTTAGGATTCTATAAGGTACTCCCAGAAATGAACTAGTATGGAGCCTTTGGGTATGCTGAGAACCAATCCGATGCACAGGCCGGCCGAGACAAGACTGTCAGCGACGTGATGCGAGGCTTGTTTTGCCAGGCTGGGCGGGTCAAGAAAACAGTACCCTGGGTTCGGGGTACCATACTTTAGAAGCTGCCCCCACCCTGTAATAGTGACTATAAGGATTATATTAGGGCCCTATTATATTCCTATTATACCACTATTACAGGGTGGGGGCAGCTCCTAAACCATACTTGAATACTTTTTTGGGGTACCTGTTCCTTAAAGGAACCATTATGAAGTGAAAGTCTATACTTTTTTCTCCCTGGTTACTTCAAAGTCCAGGTACTCGAGAAAGGGGCGGAGGAGCTGAGGGTTTGGGTTTAGCCTTGAGCCCCAAAACCCCAAATCCCTGAAAGGGGATATACCCAGCACCCTAAACCGTACTCGATAAACCCTAGATCCCAATCCGTAAGCCCACAACCCTTAATAGCCTCAACCCATAAACCCTAAAGCCCCTTTCCCCTAAAAAACCTGTAACCCTTAATGACCTTAACCCATAAACTCTAAAGCCCCTTATCCCCTAAAAGATCTGTAGCCCTTAATGACCTTAACCCATAAACTCTAAAGCTCCCGCAAAACCCCTGTAGTGGGAGATGTCCGGGCAGAATATTCCGAGGCAATCCTCGACCTCCCAACCCCTATCGCACTCGCAGCGGTGCCTTCGTCCCTGAACCTGAGTAGGGTGTAGGGTTAGGGGAAAGGTTGCCATGGTGACCGAAAGTGCTCCACACTTCTTTGTATACTGGCTTCCATGACACTACAGTTCTTTGTATACTGGCTTCCATGACACTACAGCTTCAACTGTCTAGTAATGTGCTGTTCCTCATTTTGGACAGGACGCAGGTGACAAGAAGATTCTGGAGATAATGCGGGACGTTTTCGACCAGGACGGCCTGGTTTTATACCGCTACCGCGCGTACAGCCGCGAGTATCCAGCTCGGGCAGTAAGAACATAGAGCATCCCGCAGACCTCACTGAAGCCGGTACTATGCAGTCTGCTTTTTCGTTTACATAGAGCATTAGTATATTATTACTATTACTAGTATTAACATCACTTGTATCATTACTAGTTTTGTTATTTTTCATAGTTCTTCTTCTTCTTGTTATTCATATTCTCTTCTTTCTGCTTCCTCTTTTCGTGGCTCGGCCTTCCCCAAGAGACCCCGGCCTCCCAGCGTCGCGGACGCGCCGCTTCTGAAGGCTCCAGGACGGTTAAGTTGTAATCTTAACAACCAGAAAGGTAGGTCCTGGGCCCCTGCAATGGACCTGGAGGTGGGCAGGGGTTTAGGGTTTAGAATTTAGGTTTAGGGTTTAGGATTTGGGGTTTAGGATGTAGGGTTTATGGTTTAGGATTTAGGGTGGGGGGAAGGCTTCCACCAAGGGTAGGATATTTTGAATTTAGGGTTCAGGGTGTAACTTTGAGGCTCAGTCAGGCCTTCCTCGGCTTTAGGCTTAGGGTTAAGCCAACAGAAGCTCGGGGTTCGCATGATTCCTAACCTGGAACCTGTTCCTGCCAAGAAAGAAATTTCGGCTCCAGGGTTTAGGGAACAATGTCCGGACGAGCTTAATGTAGAAGCCAGAATAACTTAACGGTACTATCTCTTAGAGGTAGTTCCTATTCAAAAAATGGCACAGTATCCACCGAAACCCTATTGCAATTATGAAGGCCCCAATGTCATAGCACACGTGTGGTAGCCCTCGTAGTAACTTTGCCAAAAGCAAAGAGCTCCTCCAGAAACCTGTCAGACCCAAGCCCCAAACCCCAAGCTTACCACCAGTCCGAGACCAGGTTGCAAAGCCGACATGGTACCTGAAGCAGGGATACGAGACGGAGGACTTCACGCTGGTGGATCTCAGTGAAAGCACGGGGGAGGACGAGGAGAACCTGGAGGACTTCCGGAGACTCATCTTGAGTAGTTCAGTGTCTACGTTATGGCTTAGAGGGTTCCTGCATTCTTGCTGCGACAGGACTAGGCTCATTTAGAGTTGGGTGCAAGTTCAGGGCTTGATGGGCGTGCCACTATGGGTTTGCGTGCTAGGCACGGCTATTCTAACGGTCGGGGAATCGAGGTGTGAAGGATTGTATATGGGTGGTTGTCAAAATTAGGGTCCCTTTTTGGGTCCCTAACATAATACGGCACCGATTATTTAGGGTACCCAGAGCGGGACCCTAATTTTGACAACTACCCATATGGCGATTCCCATCAGCCGCCCAGTGAGACTTGCCGCCTTACGCCTTGAGCCACAAACCTTAGCCAGGGTCGCGGATTCGATTTTCGTGGCTCTTGTCATATGGGCGTTTCCTATGAGGGATCATAGGGTTCCTTTAAAGGGATCTATACAGGGTTATTAGGGTTCCTTTAAAGGGATCTATATAGGGTTCCTAGGGTCCCTTTAAAGAACCCTTCCAGCTGGCGTTCACTTTCGGGTTCAATTATGGCATTGTTCGTACCTGGCTTAGGGTTTCAGAGGCCAAGGATATCCTGGCAATGAAACCCTGAGCCTTCGAGACACAGCGCTTCTGAGCTAAGAACTTCGGTTTCACAAAATGACGATGGACACAGAGCCAGGGTGCTGGCGGTGAGGGTGATGGTGCTGAGCCCTAAACCCTAAACCCACTTGATGTCAGTTTTTGTTGCCGTCAGTTCATGTCCCAACATGCCGAGCCGAGGATGGGTGCTGTGAAGTCCTGGACCAGTTCCTGCCAGAGCAGCGAGGACCAAAGCCCAAGCCCCGAAACCTAAACCTTCGACATCCATCCGGGATCCTACGCCCTAAGCCCTGAACCCTATAACCCTGTAACCCTAACCCCTAATCCCTATAATCCTAAACCCTAAACCCTACGCCCTAAGCCCTTAAACCCTAAACCCTAAGTCCTCGAGCCTTCGAAACATCCAAAAGCTCAGCTCATCAACGCACGGGCCTGAAACGGTGGCCTGCATGATTCCTCAGTGCTGCTCAATATACATATTAATATAGTATACCCCAAAAGCCGCGTCCTTTGGTTAAGGTCCCTATAGAAACCCGATGGAACCCTTTAAAGCCCCTCGAAAATGTGTAGAGAACCCTCTTCTAAGTATCAAGGCCTACAGGCCCTACACTACAAAGCCTTTGCAGTCGAAGACCCGGAACTCCGCATCCGCAGAAGCTGAAGCCCTAGACCTGGTAGGGAATGGAGGAGTGGGGTTAGGGTTTAGGGTTTAGGGTTTAGGGTTTAGGGTTTAGGGTTTAGGGTTTAGGGTGCAATCATAACTACTATTACTACCATTCTTCCATTCCCTACTACCCAAGTAAGTGGAATAGGGCTTTGCCAGGGTTTCAAAGGACTCTTTGGGGTTCTTCAGCTTGGAGAGCCATAGCCACGGTCCCTGTTGTATCTATGGGCCGGACTGATTCGTCATAGTTCCCGATATAAAAACCATCCTATCAAAGACTTCATACAAGCCCCCAATAAGGCCCTATAAAGCCTCTATACCCCATTCAAACTACGACGCCCTAAACCCTAAACCCTATTACTAAACCCTGAACCCTAAACCCTAAACCCTGAATCCTAAACCCTGAACCCTAAACCCTGAATCCTAAACCCTAAACCCTAAACCCTGAACCCTGAACCCTGAACCCCGAGCCATCGGTGAAGGAGACCCAGGCATGGCGGCGTGCCATGCTATCGGTGCGTGGACGGGACTCGAGCTGGATGCTGAGATCTCGTGACCTCAAGTTGAAGCAGGACTCCGGCCTTGGGGGGGTTTAGGGGCTCAGGGATTCTGGGGTTTAGGGTTTTGGGTTTTTGGGTTTAGGGTTCAGGGCTGGGGGGTCAGGATCTCGGATTTAGTGATTTAGGGATCCGGGTCTAGGTGGGTTTGGGGTCATGTATAGTGTCCCCGGCTCTTCAATGAAAGCCCCACTGCTTTTCCCATGTCGAGCAACGCGAAGCCCGGGACAAGCTGGACTCACAGTACAGCTTACTTCTTACCCTTGGTTTGTAGGGAATGGAGGAATGGGGTACAATTATAACTACTATGGCTACCATTCTTCCATTCCCTACTAACCAAAGGTAAGACTTCCGACCTTCGACGCGCAGGTGCTGGGCCGCACCCTGAAGAACACCATCTACCTCGCAGCTTTGGCATGGTTGGGTAGCATTTTATATTGTTTGCGGGTACTGAAACCCAATAAGGAAAAAGATTTACATTTTTAACAACATTAATAGTATCAATAATGTTAATAATATTCATAATATTTTTTGTAATCCTATCCCAACCATGAACTAGGCAGCTTGGCAGGGCGCCGATGTTGTCGTGAAGTGTGCGAAGGTCGATGGAGGCTGGTTTAGTCGCGGAAGAGGGTTTAGGGTTTAGGGGTTAAGGGGTTAAGGGTTTAGGCTTTAGGGTTTATGGCTTAGGGTTTAGGGCTTAGGGCTTAGGGTTTAGGGGTTAGGGCTTAGGGTTTAGGGCTTAGGGTTTAGGGTTTAGTTGTGGGACAGGGTTTAGAGTTAAGGGCCGGGTCTTGGGTCTGCGTGAAGGAAGCAAGGGTTCAGGGTTTCGGGTCGGTTGCACCTTTTTGCCCGAAGTCGAAGCGTAAGAACAGCAAAGGCTTGAAACCGAACTCCTTACTCCTAACACGAAGTCCAGAGTGAACTCAATTCAAATCAGATGCTGCGCTTGCGCGCCCTCTTCCTTGCTGCGACACTTTGGCTATTACCTTCATCCGCGCCTTTGCAAACCAAAAAACATGTACGAACCAGGGTTTAATAATCAGAGCAGGGTTTTGGGGTAAGTCTTACTATAACAAGAACAAAATGTTCTAAGGAGTTCCACTCCTATATTACTCATGTGTCGGGCCCATCTTCCACCGCAGTGCTACCTCTTTACACTTTCCTCCGGAGATTGGCTGGCATATTTGGGAAGAGGAAAAGGGCATTTAACACAGGGGCCTGGATCAGTACCAAGATGATTCCTTGATGTTGTAGCTGTGCTAGAACATCCCCCCACCCCCCCCCGCCCCCAAAGCTCATAGTCCAATTATTAAGGCTGCGATATTGGGAGGATCCAAGGTGCATGTTGGAGGAAGTAGATCAACTTACGAGGCTGATGAAGGATTTTGCAGCCAGCTGTGGCTTCAGAAACTTTGGTTCCTCTTTGTATTTCGCGGATGCACGAAGAAGATTGTGAAGGAGTGGTATCGACTACTGTAGTCCCCGAAACCCTAAACCCTAAACCCTTAAAGCCCTAAACCCTAGACCCTTAAAGCCCTAAGCCGTGAATGATGCAGCAACTCCGTTCGCAAGGCTCGGCGGAGGAGGCAGCTCCGACAGCGATCACAGACGAGCTCTTGCACGAAATCGACGTTTCTTTGTCACAGTTGGGTATGACATCTTACGTTTTTATGGTTACTTAAAACCCAATATGGAATAGAACCTACAACCTTAACCCCTAAACCCGGACCAGGTTCTCTCATCCATGCGCCATCCGGATCTTGTCATGTTCCTCGGAGCCTGTCTTGAGCCAAACAGGCCCATCATGTGCGTGACGGAATCTGGGTTCTTGTCGAGGAGTTTGGTTTAAGTTACCATAGATCTATAGTAAATAACAGGGCTTCTGCATTATGGTATCTCAAGTAAAATTCCTTAAATTACCAAACCCTGCTTGTTTGTAGGTTCTTATTATACACCCTAATATGGAATTTATAGGGGCTCTACAAAAAGGCTAGGTTTTGGTAGCTTAAGGTTCCTTAACAGGAACCCAGGAGTTCATGCCAAAGGGCGACCTCGAGAACTACTACGAGACTCAGCGCAAGACGCGCAATGTGCATCTCTGGCGCCCCGGCCTCGGCAAGGTCGTTGAGTGGCTAGGATGCCCAGTAGTACCCTTATTCCATTTTAAAGGGATCTATAAGGGGTTCCTTAAAGGGGTCTATAAGGGTTCTAAAAAGGGTTTAGGGTTTCCGAAAATTAGGGCCTAGGATGCCCAGTAGTACCCTTATTCCCTTTTTGTAGTCCTAGGTTCCTTATAAAGTTACCCAATACCAAAAAGAGAGGCCTTTTTATTCTTAGGTTACTGGGTATCCTAGGTGGAGCTGTGCAGTGGCTAGGGCACTCAACTTCCTGCACTCCCGGAAGATGATCCACAGGGACTTAAAGCCCATGAACTTGCTCCTCACGAAGCACCATGAGGTGAAGGTCGCCGATTTAGGCATCAGCCGGATGCTGGCGGAGGCTGACGACTACGACATGACGGGAGGCATTGGAACAACCCGATGGATGGCCCCAGAAGTTATGCGCCACGGGTGTTACGACGAGAAAGTCGATATCTACGCGTTCGGCTTGATCGTCTACTTCATGAGCTCAGGTCACATCCCATTCCACCATCTTGGCTTGTCGTGCCAAAGCCTGCGTGAGCAGTTCCTTTGTCATAGTTGGGCAATGAGCATTTTACATGTTTAGGGGTACTTTAACCCAAGAAGGAATAAAAGTTTAAGGGTATAAAATTTGTATAGATCCCTCTTATGGTATAACTTAAACTAAATTCCCTCTAATTATGGTAGCTTAAACCATATTATTCCCTATTCGTTTTATTATTATCTCAACCATGGAGTAGGTTCCGACATGGGGGTGAGCCACGGCCTCTGGCATCGGAGGGCAGTCCGAGATTGCGCCCTCTGATGGAGGCAGCTTGGCATGTCGACCCCACCCGCAGGCCGACTGCAGAGGAGTTGCTGGAGGATCTTCGGCACGTAGTGCAGCTTGGGGGATGTGGGCCGTGCGCGCAGATGTGACATGCGACCTTTCTCTTGCGCCTTGTGCCATCTCTTGCCCTTAGCAGCAGCTAGGAAGTTCGGTCTTTTCAGCCGCCAGTCCTTGCCGACTGCAGGCTGTTTTTGTTTCGTCCTTGGTTCCATTTGATCGCAGCAACTCTCGTTTCGTGAACCTCGACCATCGTTGCATGCATGCGTTATTTGTGGGCAGGTCTTGGAAAAAGTCAACCCTTCCCGCAAAAGCCCATAATTCGGGAGCTTCCCGCATTTCAGGTGTTCTTTTCAAGGATTGGCCCTTGGCCCTTTCGAGGCTAGACCCGGGCAGTGAGCAGAGCTTCCTGTCTCGTGGCACAGCAGGGTCAGTCAAGAACGCCTGGTACTTCAGTTTACAGGACCTGATTCAATATAGGGGCCTTAATAGCAATCATGCTACTACTACTACTACTACTACTACTACTACTATTACTACTACTACTACTACTACTACTACTACTACTACTACTACTACTACTACTACTACTACTAACTACTACTACTACTACTACTACTACTACTACTACTACTACTACTACTACTACTACTACTACTACTACTACTACTACTACTACTACTACTGCTACTGCTACTGCTACTGCTACTGCTACTACTACTACTACTACTGCTACTACTACTACTACTGCTACTGCTACTGCTACTACTACTGCTACTGCTACTGCTACTACTACTACTACTACTACTACTACTACTACTACTACTACTACCGCTGCTACTACTGCTACAACTACCACTACTACTAATACTACGACCATCACCACTACTACTACTACTACTACTACTACTACTACTACTACTACTACTACTACTACTACTACGACTACGCCAACTACAACTAGTGATACATATCACACAACAATAATAGTGATAATAGCAAGAATGATAGTAATGGCGGTAGTCATAACAACAACATCAGTATCAACAGTAATACTCAGTAAAAAACAGCAACACTAGCAATAGCGACAACACCAATTTTTGTAGTACAGTTATGATAATAATGACCATGATAACCATGCTCAGGACAGTAATAGTAATCATGTCTTAGTCATAACAAAAGTAATAAGAACCACAATCATAATTACGATGTGCTAGCAACACAGATAGTAAACGAAAACAAACGCAATATTCGTAACATCAATAGTAACGATAGCAATAATCATAGTAACAACAACTAAAACAACACCAACAGCAATAATCATCGTAGCAATACTAGTAATCATTACAATGGTACTATTCAAGAGCACTTTCAGTTTACAGAACATGATTCAATACAGGGGCCTTAATAGTCCTTAGTTTTATTAGGGACTGCATCATAAGGGGACACTATTCCAATAATCATAAGGGGACATTATTCCTAATCGTGTGGACCCCTACATTGCCTCAGTGTCTAACAACCGGATGGGTGTTCTGACAAGCTCGGCTTCAGAGTCGCCAACCTATTCCTTGCGACTCCAAGGCAAGTTTACAGAATTCTCAGAGCTTGCTTTCGGTGCACCGGCTCTTCGAGTGCACGTGAAGCTCTCCTTGCATGCGGCAACCTGGAAGGTTGCATGGGCATCTGCCTTTCAGGGGTTGATGCCTAGGGCCTCATAACCCTGAGCCGCAAACCCTAAACCCTAACGCCTAAACCGTGCCATCTGTTCAAGTTGCAGGTAGGGTTTTGTTCAACTTCGAGCCCTAGGGAGTGAACTCTCAACAGCTGCCCCCACTGACCAGGTGCTTGTACAGCTCATTTTCGCTGCCTTGCGCACAAGCGTTCAAAAGCTACTAGTACCACCGGATCTCACCCTAAGCTCTGAAACGAGCACTAAACCCTACCCCTGCCCACACCGTAAACCCTGCTTGCCCGCACCGGGACTCCTCGATCCAGACTCAAGGTTAGCCGCCTTAACAGTTTTAGGGCAGGGTTTCTTGTAGGTATAACCCTAAAGCCCTAAACCCTAAGCCCTAAACCCTAAACCCTAAACCCAAGGTTGCTGTTGGGGGCTTGGCGGGGGGGAGGGGGTGGTTTTAACGGAACCAGAAAGCTTCTTCGGAATCGAGTTTCAGCAGCTTTGTCGGGGGTCATGAACCCAGAAAGCCCAATACCCCTTAATTAAGGAATATGGCTTAAATTATATAGGGCTTCATATTATGATTTAAGCTATATTCCTTAATTAAGGGGTATTGGGCTCTCTGGGTACTATCCCTTCCTGAAGCAAGAACTACCCATTGTTTAGGACATGAGGCCATTATTGAGAGTACCTGGAGTCTTACTTTCACTTTCAACTTATAGCCTTCCCCGAGACCCTAAACCCAAAACAAGCATGTAATTCCCAACACCCCAAAACCTGAGCCCGTAAACCCCCCTGAGCTCTTATTGGGAGTTTCCGAAGATTATGGGGTACCTTATTTGGGGAGTCCTGAGAATGAGGATCCTACTATATTTAGGGTACAATATTAGGATCCCCTATTTTCGGAAACCTCCACCTTGAACCCTAAACCTTCTCAGAACCCTTATAGATCCCTTAAAGGAACCCTTATGGTATCCTTTAAAGGAACCCCCTATGGTACCCAGACGAAACTCAAGTCTGGGACGGTAGACCCCGGAGAAAGCCCCGGACTTCCAAGCGAACAGGAGCTGCCATGGCCTTGGGTTCGGATGCCCAGGAGATTTCTTGGGGTGTTGGGGTTCCCTCAAAGGGATCTATAGGGGTACCTTGAAAGGGATCCATAAGGGTTCCATACGGGATCTATAGGGTTTATATAGGGTTTTCGCGTTTAGGGTTTAGGGTTTTAGGGTTTAGGCTTAAGATTTTTGGAGCGTAGGGCTTGGGGTTTATTATGTTTAGGGATGGCTGTTTCAACAACAAACCTCAACGACCCTAAACCCTAAACCTCTGCGAAGCAATCTGGTGGAAAAAGCTTTCAACAGGCCTAAACCTTGAACTCCTACACTTCCGCACGCTAAACCCCTAATTCCCCGGAACCCCCAAACCACTAACCCCCCCGAACCCAAAACTCCTCCCACATCCTAACCCCTGTACTCCTAAACTCCTACAACCCTAAACCCTAACCCCTAAAACCCCGCAACTTCTAAACCACTAGACCTTAAAGCAGAAATCCTAAAACCCTAAGCTTTAAACCCAAACCTTTAAACCTTAAGGCAGAAATCCTAAAGCCTGTTTCGCCAGCACTCTCTGAGGTTGTGCAAAAGAGGCCCAAGGAGGGAGGGTACCGCTTCGTGAATGAGCAGTGCATCCCTGCCGCCGCTTCGAAGATTTAGGGTTTAGGGTTGAGGGTTTAGGGTTCTGGGCTTAGAGTTTAGAGCTAAGGGGTTTAGGGGGACTTCATGACATTTGGGGTCTACAGCTGAGCCAATTATGAACCTGCTAAAATTTGCGACAAGGAAGACGGAGGTTTGATGCTTCTTCTCTCCCTGTTCTCTGCTTACCGGTTTCAGATGTTGATGTCACCCAAGACGCTACATTCGCAACCCCTCAAGCCCAAATTGCTAAAGGCTCACACCGCACTTAAGCCGTCCAGAGTTTTAGGGTTCGGCCGTAGGGTTAGGGGCTGGGGGCTTACGCTGTTCGGAGTTTGGGGGCTTAGTGTATCTTGCTCTCGCCTTCCTTCCAAGTGCCACTCGTTTTAGCACTCTTGGCGTTTGGGTTCTGATTGCCCTTGAAAAAATGTTAGTCTCGCTGTCGCCGGTGCAGCCTCTGCAGATGTTTATCCATACTATTGTGGGGGCTCCTTATTTGTAATTAAAGCATCATATACCCCAAACTCCGTTCTAATTATTAAGGCCCCTATATTAGGGTTTTGAGTTTGGGGTGTCTATCTGTGTCAAACGTGAAACGCCCGTTTGGCTTGGAAGAGCACACCTTCATGGCATCTTTCTCTGGGCGTGGCTTTGGGTAGCAGCGACAAGGACCATTCCTTTCATAGTGTTTGGGAGCTAAACACCCTAGTATTTGGGATGTGGACCCCTGAAAAACGTCTCGGGTTTGAGGCCTTCTTGGTTTACCCTAAGCCATAAACTATAAACCTTAAACCCTAGAAGAAACCTTAAACCCTACCTGAGATGCTGCCGCTTAGGTCTGGAGCTGGTATCACCCAATGCAAGAGCTGCATCGTCGCCTGGTGCAGCTGCTGAAGGAGGCACAAAGACCCCGGGAAAGCTGGCACAAACTGTTCTGAACCTTGCACCCTAGACCCGAAACCCTAGGCCCTAAACCCTAAAACCCTACACCCTAAACCCTAAACCCGAAACCCTAAACCCCTCTGAATCTTGAAACCTACTGTTTGGATACTGCCCCCACTCAGTAACAGTTGGATAATATTCATAATATAGATATATTAGGACCTTAATAGTAGCCCTATTATAGACTGTTACTGTATGGGGGCAGTATCCAACCTACTGTCCTGCGGAGCCGTTCGAAGAGTCAAGTCTCAAACATGATTTGGCTGCTCGAGGCCTTTGATGGCGAGTGCTGGAACTACTCGAGGACGAGGCATTCTGGGACGTTTAATAAAAGCTTTGGGTCGGAGTATGGCTGCCTTCGCATAGTAAGCCCCAGACAGCAAGCATCACTGCAAGAGAACTATGTGGGTGGTTGTCCAAATTGTGGTCCCTTCTTGGGTACCCTAAATAATAGGTGCCGTAGTATAATAGGGAACCGAAAAGGGACAATAATTTCGACAACCACCCATGTGGAGTCTGCGGAGATCCCTGAAACCCGGGGGGCCTTCGCTTCATTGCCCGGAGCTCCCTCGCCTCGAATCAGAAAATCCGGAGGAGGCCTGGGCCCTCGTCAACCCTGAGAAAATACAGGAGCCTTCATAATCACCTATTATATTATAGTGCATTCTTCTTGTGATTTGTTTATTTCATTTTTTTGGGGGGGGGCCCTTATTATTCTTACAGTATGGTGGGCGGCCCCGAAACCCTACTTCAACCATCAAGGCCTCTATGTTACTCCACAGTACTACCCTGCTGCACTACTCTACTCTGCTCGTCTCTCCCTCTCCCTGGCTCGGCTCCACCTCTGCTCTACTCTGGCCTACTCCTGCTCTTGCTGCTGCTCCTACTTAGCTGTGCAAGTACCGCACAAATCTGTACCAGCTTGTACCATACCTATCTACTATAGAATATCTCCTCAAAACTATGTACTGTAGACTTTGTACCACATACTATGTACCGTTTGCCATACACCATACACCATCTGCTATATGCTGTATACCAGATGCTGTTTGCTATATGCTTCATATTATATATCGCCGTACGGTCGTACTATATACAATGTACTATGTAGTATGTACTGTATACTGTCATACTATACTTTACTATGCTACACTATACGATACTATAATATGCTTCATTCTTTACTGTACTATACCATACTAGACGAGATTAACTGGACCACGCTATACTAGACCAGTTTACTGTACGCCACTACGCTCCACAGCCGCTTGTAGGTCATCCTTGGAGAGTCTCGTCGCTGAGCTCCTAAACGGTGAGATCCCGGGTCTGAAAGAGGTCGGTACCTGGTACAAGACGCCACAAGGCGCGACGTGGTGGGTTCGGTGTTTGGTTTAAGGGTTGTTCGTGCATGTTTGAATGGCGTAAAGGGGTGTTATACAGCTCTGCAGCGACTTTATGAGATTTATGGTCTTTTGTATAGATTTTATAAGGTTTTCTTGCAGTTGATTAGGGAATCCGTGCCGCTGAGGGAAGGAACAAGACTGTGGGATTCAATCGTACTGTAGAGTGTTTGGCGTGGTGTCGTGCCAGTGTGCAGAGGTTTTACCTAGTTATGTATGTCAATGCTTAGGTTTAGGGTCTGGGGTGGTTCAGGGCTTATCTAAGGGGAAAAGGAGGGACCCCTACCCTATAATGGGGCTATATACTGGGTATATAATAGCGATATTAGGGGTATGTACCTAGGGGTCCTTATTAAGGGTCCCTCCTTTTACCCTTGGAGGGTTGAGGGGCGAGGGTTGAGGGTTTAGCTTCGCGGAGCGTCAGCAGAAGTCCTGGTCTGGCGGTCATGACGCTCGTAAGTCAGCGGACGTGTCAACCACTCTTTGCAAACATGTGTTGCTGTGCTTTTTTTTTCAACCCTTCCAGAGCTTGTTTAGAACTCTAGTAGAACGAACCCTTTCAGAACCCTTATAAAACACTCCTAAACCCCGCATCAAACCCTCACAGGATCCCAAAACCTAAACCCGGAAGCCCCGAACCCCTAAGCCCCTAAACCTTTTAAACCCTAAAGCCTGAACCCCTAAACCTTAAACCTAAACCCTAAACCCATAAGGAACCTAAATCCTTAAACCCCTAAAACCCCTAATCCCTAAACCGCTTAAGCCTTCAACCCCCAAGCGCCCTCTATAGAACCCATATAGGTTCTTTTTAGGAGCCCTTAGAGATCCCTTTACAGGGAACTCCAGAAAGTTGGAATATGGTTTCATGGTAGGATACCCTATAATTTACCATAGAAGGGTTAGGATAATCATATTCCAACTATCTGGCTTTTACCTTAAAGGAACCCTAAACGCTCCTGACCTCTGCAGGATGCTACGCTCCGGCGTCGGCGCGTCCGTCCTATCTCCGCAAGGACGACCCACGCTTGGAGGCAGGGCTTCCTTTTTGGGTTTGCCTAGAGGCTAGGGTCTTTGAGGCTTATGGGGTTTATGGGGTTCAGGGTTAACAGGGTGTCGGGTTTGGGGAGACGTGGTACTACTTGTCGCAGAGTGTTTCGTGGCTGAGGGTGTTCGCGGTTGAGGGTCTGTGTCAGTGTTTTGGGATTGGTTTCTGGATTGTGCGTTCTTACTACAGGTGTTGACGGGTCTCTGGAGGATGTTTGAATAGTTGGAGACCTGATGTTTGAAGGAGGTTTCTGGATTCCCTCAGCTCGAAAAGCACCTCTTGGCCGCGGAACCCGAAACTAAATGGAGCTGCACCAGCCTACTACAAGGGCCTAAATAATTATCTTTGCTATTTTGGGGTTCCTTACTGTAACTATATAGTGGGACCCCAAACCCTACTCTAATTGCTAAGGCCCCTATATTTATCCCCAAGCCCTCAATCCCCTTTGCCATCCAAGATTTCAAGCCCTCCAACGACCTCCGAATCCGTTGTCAGACAAAAAACTACGCTCAAGCTGCAAGCCGCACTCCTCAGTCCTCCTTTGGAAGCCTAAATCAGTACCAATATCATGCCCTAGGGTTCCTTACTATGACTATACTAGAACTTGTTAAGGCACCTGCATGCTCCGCACACCTTAAAGCCTAAAGGCCCTACTGCAAAAAGCTCTACAGCCTGTTGCAGAAATAAGATGGTCTAATGAACATAGACCCAAAATTGTATAGGACCTTCTGGCTATAAGAACCGCTACATAAGGTAACCCGATTTGAGGAAACTTCCATTTCCCGAAGCTGGAATGTTGAAGCACTTCACTATACCCCTAAACCCTAAAGCCTGCTGTATCCATGGCTTTCCCAGGATTCATCACCCTTTGTTCGGGACATCCCACTGTGAACAGCTCGGGGCTCGCAGCCCTCTCAAAGCCCTAAACGCCGTAGTCCCCGAAACAAGGATGAAATCCCAAACCCTATACCCTAAACCCCAAATAAGATACGTTTTTCTGACACCCTAGACCAAAAAGCCCAAACCTTCAAGCCTCTGACCCCTAAGCCCCAATTTCCCTTTTAAAGGGATCCTCAAAACTCCTTGGTCTTCCCATTTAAAGGAACCCACAAACCCTTCACGGTTCCCCTTACCCTAGACCCTAAACCCTAAACCCCTAAACACCAACCTTAAAACCTTAAACCCCTAAACCCTTCACCCTTAATCCTAAACCTTAAGCCCCTAAAACCCTAAACCCCTAACCCCCTAAACCCTAAACCCCTAAACCCTAAACTCTTTTAAAGGAAACCCGGAGCGAGAGGCCGCTTCGACCCTGGGCCTCGCGCTGAGAGCCTGCCAGATTGTCAGCCGCCAGGTGCTGCAGGAGGACCCCGTGGGTGCCTTTGAAGGGATCCATAAGGGTTCTAGAAGGGATCTATAGGGTTTATGTAGGATTTTGGGGTTTGGGCTTTAGGGTTTAGGGTTTGGGGGTTTAGGGGTTCAGGCGTTTAGGGGTTTAGGTGTTTAGGGGTTTAGGGTTTAGGCGTTTAGGGTAACTGGGACTCAGAGGGATGAGAGCCATATAAGGGGTGGGGAGATCATGCCCAGTCATGGATAATCATTCCTATGATTGTTGCTATCATCATTATACTAGGCCGGCCGTGCGAGGTACGAGAACCAGTGGCAACGGCAGTGATGCTTAAACTGCACACACTTAGAGACAGAGACTCGGGAACTGACCACGAGGGAGTATGTCTCAGCTGACCGCTACAGAAATTTCCAAGTTTGGTCGGACGAGCAACCAAAGGAGGGGGCCCAAACCCTCCCACCACAACAAGCCTTTCAGACTCTTGCACCCCTACGTCTTTAACTCCGAAGCCCACCCCCAAAGCCCTCCGAAGCCTTACCCCACACTCAAACCCTAAACCCCAAATCCTAAACCCTAAATCCTTACTCCTAAACCCTAAACCCTCCAAAGCTCCGTTGGGAGGACCTGCCGTTGCAAGATGTTTGGCTGCTTGCAGCCCCTGTTGCCGAGCGTGTGCTCATGCTCCTGGGCTTCGAAGGGCGTAATAGTTAGACATACGGCTGATGATATAAATCGTGCATTACCCATAATAAGGAATTTACCATAGTTCCCATAGTTTAGGGCCCTTCAGGTAATGCAGGATTTATATCATCAACAGTATTTGGTAAAGTGTTGTGCAAGTCATATCAGTTTTCACAGTTCCGTTTGTTGAACTATGGCTTCCGAGGGTTTCGCTTCATAGAGAGATTACATACGATTTGTAAGAGCTTATTGGACGTCGTCAGTGTGCACGGGGCTACCTTGAAAGATTGATGAGTACAGATGTCGGGTGCTATTCTGGTGATACTACCGGCTGTGCTACAAATACGCCTTACTTCGCATAGGCTAGTATCAGCTTTACGGTTTAGGTTTACTTGGCTGTTCTCTCTTGAACATTCCTTTTGTGTTGCTTAAGACCTAAACCCGAAACCTAGCTTCTTCCTAAGAAGGAAGAAAAAATCAGAAACGGCCTCCACGCGCAGAGTTTGGGATTCGGGGTTTCGGAAATATGGGTTTTCAAGTGGCGGGGTTTAGTGGGTTTGGGTTTTCGGGTGTAGTGCTTTAAGGTCTAGTTTCCGGGGGTGAGCCTTTCAGGGTCTGCCGTGAGAAAACCCCTTAAGCTGAGATCTTGAAAACTGTCTGAGGTCAGCACCCGGCAGGCCGTCGGGCCAAGGGAAGGGAGAAGCCCACTTATTCCTTAGGGCTCCTTGTTAGAATTATAGTATAGTATACACCAAAACCCCATCCTCAGGGACGGCGGCTTGAGATAAACCCTCAGTCATCAGGAACAGTGAGAGGACGTTGCGGGGTTTAGGGTCTAGGGTTTAGGGTTTAGGGTGTCCATAACCATAGACTTGAAGCCTTTTCCCTGTCACCGTCACTGTTCGTTTCTTTTGCTCAACCCTCGTTTGCTTGATGGGTAGGTCTCTAAACTAGGGTACTGAACCCTTCTGAAAAGGATCCTAAAGCGGACCTTAATTTAGAGAATCACCCTTATGCAGACCCAAAGTCTGAAACTTGAGAAAACCTGAGCTAGGAGAGGCTACAGCTCCCAAAGGTGTACTTAAAGGGTTATGTGACTTAATAACTAGGGTTATAATTTGGCTAACTATACTTACAGCTACTTATAACCCCAATCAAGGTACTTATAGGCTTAAGTACCATGATCCTCCAAGTATGTCAGTTGTGCCGCGCCGCTCTCGTGGAGCTGATACCGAAGCCTAAATAACCAGCACAACTATTCCTTAGGCTTCCTGTTTATATTGATACTAGAGGGGGAGCCCCAGACCCCTATTCTATTTCTTGATGCCCCAGACCGCAACCCTTAAAAATAACCCTTAACCCGTCTAGTAGCCCTTATTATTATAGACCCTTTTCAAGGAGCCCTATTCTAATTATCAAGGCCACGACATAGAGATCAGGCTCCGACTCGATATGGAGCCTTGTGAAAGACGGGGCTTAACCCCGAGCCCTGGACCCTGGACCCTTACCGGTTTAGGGCTTAGGGCTTAGGGTTTAGGGTTTAGGGGAATAGAACCTAAACCCCAGACCCCAAAACACTACTTGGAGGTTCATGGGTAGTTATAAGTGGAGTTATATGTCCCCCCAATATGGGTCGTAATTATAGTTACCCTACTACTTAGAACTACCCATGTATCTCCAAGCAGACCCCACACCCCAGGCTTGTAATTCGGGAATATGCCCCACGGTTCTTGGCGCAGTTTCGGGCAGCAGAGTTGTAGCCAGCCGGTCGGATCTCTCAGTTGTCTTCACAGAGCCGAAAAGGGAAAAGGGAGACACTACGAAGGTTTTTAGGGTTTAGGGGCCTGAGAACATTCACAAAGACTGGTCCTCGCCCTATTCCTTCGGGTTCCCTTTAATGCTTATAGTGTAATACGCTACTCAAAGCCGTATTACAAGTATCAAGGCCAATGTATGAATGTGGCATCCGAAGGCCCTTGCTGCAGGACGAGCTTTGATTACAGGAGAAACTCCTTCTGACCTGCTCAACACCGGCTACCAAGGCTCATCAACTCAAAGTTAGTAGTCTGGACAGCAATAGCACTAGTAGCAATAAGGACGATAATGGGACAAACAGCATAAACAGTAAAAAACCTTGCTCCTTAACCCGAAACTCCGTGATAGGCCTTGCACCTGGGATGATATGGCCGCCCAGCACGACGAGATCCAGTCACAGGCCGGGATCTTCATCATTCGAGGTTCTAGCTAGGGTGCAGGACAGCGGAGACAACAGTTCTGGGTAGCAAGGGGTAGTATCTAGTAAAGGGTAGTGTAGAGCAGCACAGAGGCTAGTAAAGAGTAGTATAGAGTAGCATACAGAGGGTCGTAGAGGGTAGGGGGTAGTATAGGGCAGCTTTGGCCAGTATAACATAGGGGGCTTAATATTATAAATACTGTAGTTATGATCAGGAACCCCAAAACCCTACTCTAATTATTAAGGCCCCAGCATTAGCTTAGCATAGGCTGCCCCCTTGGCAAGTCGGAGGTCTTAGGCTGTCCGTTTACAACCCTATAAATAATTTGCATAGGGGGTTTGTCATATATAAACTATCTCACCATTGCTTTCATGAAATCAGGCGTACTTACATAATTCAGGGAGCCCTTATGTGTATCGTAATGTCCACAATTTTCTGAATTTCTAGCATCTCACTAGGCACGAACCCCCCGCGAGAAATGGATTGCCAAGCTTCTTGCAGATAGAAGTTGTGGGGCGTCGCTAGTCAGCTCGGGTTTGGGGTTTAGAGGTTGGGGGTTTAGGGTTAGCGGTTAAAGGTTTAGGGGTTTAGGGGTTGGGGCTTAGAGGTTGGGGTTTAGAGGTTGAGGGTTCAGGGTTTCAGGGTTCAGGGGTTAGGAGTCGCCTTGAGACATCAACCGCCCTGAGCTGGAGGAGCTCGCGCCCGCGAGGGCCGTGGAGGACCCGGGTTCGGGGGTGAAGGGCTTCTAACCGTAACGTAGGGGCCTTAATAATTAGAACAGGGTTCCTTTAAAGGGATCCTCTAAAGGGGTCTGTAAGGGATCTATAGTAGTTTTCTGTAATATAGTGGCCTTAATAATTAGAGCAGGGTTTGGGGGTTATAGTATACTATAATTAGAATAAGGACTCCCCTAAAACCCTGCTTCAGGGACATGGGGCAGACACTTGCATCCCTAAGCCTGGACCCCTGAACCCTAAACCCCTAAACCCTGAACTAATAGCCGTTAAGCCCTAAACCCCAAACCATGCTTGTAAAACCAAACCATGGTTGTGCTGTCATGTGTATTGAAGGATGCAGTTTCCATTTCTCGGCTATTGGGAGCACCATGTGTCTGTGCTTTCAGTGGTCGGGGTTGAGGTTTGGGGAATCTCGGGTTGAAGTTGACCGCGTCCTTGAAATCTTACGTTTTGCGTCTTTGTCTGCGACTTTCCAAGTCTTGTTGATGCCAGGGTTGCGAGGTTGAGCGCTGGGGTGGCTTGGCATGTCGGGCTTGACTCCTACATTCACAGCCAATGTACAGTTTTAGTTTTGTTATGCACATTCGAAACTAATGACTCGCCATTTGGCGGCTCGCCTCCATGTCATTTTTGACAGGGGGCCTCCATCCGCAATGTAGGGGCCTTAATAACTACTACAGTTATAATAAGGAGCCCCCCCCAAAACCCTGTTCTAATGATCAAGGCCCCCCCACATTACGCCCTCAATCCCTCAGCCCTAATCTCTGAGCCCCTGCGCCCCAAAACCACATGGGCTCCTGGTACCCTGTACCCAAAGCCTGGCCGTAGCCTAAGCGCTAAACCCTGCGACCCGTTGAAAGAGCCTTTCTAGATCCCTTTAAAGGAGCCCTTATAGATCCCCTTATAGGAGCCTTTCTAGATCCCTTTAAAGGAGCCCTTTCGGATCCCTTATGGGGGCCCTTCTAGATCCCTTTAAAGGAGCCCATATAGATCCCTTTACAGGAGCCCTTATGGATCCCTTTAGAGGAGCCCTTATGGATCCCTCTGAAGGAACGAAGGAACCCTAAAGTCTCAGAGAGACCTGGAAGGCTGGTTGGGCCTCCAGCCGACCCCTTCCTGCGCCAATTTCCCCACCCCTGGAGCCGATCGTCACGGAAGCAGAGGCCCGAGCTTATCTAGGATGCCCAGTAGTACCCTTATTCCCTTTTTGTAGTCCTAGGTTCCTTATAAAGTTACCCAATACCAAAAAGAGAGGCCTTTTTATTCTTAGGCTACTGGGTATCCTAGCTACTTGGAGGATCATGGGACTTAGCAAGTAAGCTTCAATGTGTACCTGAATAGGGGTTATAGGTAGCTATAAGTATAGTTAGCCTACTTATAACCCTAGCTATTAAGTCCCATGATCCTTTAGGTATTTCTACTAGTACATTCTTCTTCTTATTGTTATTGTTATTGTGATTCTTGTTGTTGTCATTTGTATGATTGGCCATTTTTAGGCTACTACTTTGTGCCAGGGCTGTTACTGTTGCAGGCAGACAATCGTCTGCAGGTGTGTGAGGAGGCAACCCTGGAATTTGCCAGGCTGGTTGGGCCTCCAGAAGCCCCATTCCCGGGCAGATGCCCCCAGCAGCGGAGCCAGTAGCGACGGATGGAAAGGCCCGCGTCCTGGGTAGATTTGAATGCTTTTCGGGCTGATGAAGGCATTTTGGGTTGCGCCCTTTACATGAAGTTGAGAAGTGCACTTGAAGTGACACTGATTACACGTCTGGATGGAGTTGGGGGTTCCTTACTAGATGGTAGTATAATAGGGTTTAGGGTTTAGGGTTTAGGGTTTAGGGTTTAGGGAGGCCCTGCCTGGACTCCCCAACCTCGCGAACGAACTAGAAACCTTCAAGTTTGGCAAGAGATCCCGAGGTTCAACACCCGCAGAACTCCAAAACCCTAAACCCCTAATTTATCTAATCCCAAAACCCCTAAGCCCCGAAATCAACCCTAGACCAGTAATCCCAAACCCCAAAACCCTAAACCCCTCGTCTCTAACCCCTTAAACCCCGAAAGAAACCCTACCGCAAGCCCGAAAACACAAAGCCACCGTCTGGGCCAGTCCTTGACCGCTGCGGAGCCGGTCGCAACAGAGGCCAAGGCGTGCGGACGGAGCGAAAATCCAGACCTGCCGGGAGGATCCAAAAAGTAGATCCCTTGATGGGGGCTCCTGTAAAGTACCCTTAGTAGTATAGGGCCCCAAAATTGGATCTACTTTCTAGATCCTCCCGGGGGTCTGGGAGGGTTGCCTGGAGGTTCATGGGTAGTTATAAGTGGGGTTATAAGTCCCCTTATATGGGTTATAACTACAGTTACCCTGCTTATTACTCCACTTATAACTACCCATGAGCCTCCAAGTACCCAGAGCCTCCAATATCCCTTAATTAAGGAATATACCTTAAATTATAGTAGGATCCCTAATATGATTTAAGGAATATTCCTTTATTAAGGGGTATTGGAGTCTCCGGGTAGTAGTCTTGAGGAGCGGATCAGGCCAAGACCCCGGGTGCAGTGAAGGTTCAGGCTTCGGGGATACGGCTTTCTCTACAGTCTCCTTAGGAAATATATTTTCAATTTTTTGTTCATATAAAAACCCAAGAGAATATTTAAACTATTATTTTTATTATGGTTCTAAGGGGGGGTATAGTTTTCAGACCCCAGATCCCCAAATAAGGTGCCCCTGATTTGCGGAAACCCCAAAGCACTCTCTGAGGTGCGAAGCAGGTTGGAGCCTTCTGCAGCGCCCGAGTCAGCCGAGTCGGTGAAAGAGATATGCACCCTCCTTCGCGCGACCATGGAGGCTCAAAGATTTACTATAGACGCTTAAAAAAGTACCAATACTATTATAGGAAAATATACCCAAAACCCTGTTTGGAGGACCAAAGATTTTAGATATGCTTCAGGGTTTAGCCTTTAGGGCATAGGTTTGGGGCCCTAAATTATTGCAGTATAACGCGCCCCAAAACCCTATTCTAATTCAAAAATCTTGAGATCCCAAACTTGAGATTGCGAGGCCTTCTCCGGCTTGGCTGAGAAGCTGAGCCCGCCGGAGGCCCCTTTGAGACATTGGTAGAGTGGTAGAGAAGCATCTAGGGTTTAGGGTTTAGGGTTTAGGGTTTCTCGTGGAAACAGGCATGGTAGCCATATCCGCCATCACGTGGTAGTTGTAGTAGTCGTAGTAGTCGCGGTCAAGGTAGTGGCACTTATGCGAGTGGCAGTAGCCGGGAGGGGAGGGAGGAGCACACATCGGAGATTTTGTCGCAGCGGCTGCAGGTGACCTTAAACCCTAAACCGTAAGCATGATAGCCGCAGGATCCCGGACGGGCGAAGAGCCCCGGGCCGGCGAAGAGCCCTGGGCCGGCGAAGAGTCCCGGAGCCAGTCCTGGACCGGCGAAGAGCCCCGTCTTCGCAACCATCTGTGCACGGACCCGCTTCGGCGACGAAGTGACGGCTCCTTGGCACTTGTGGCGGCAGAATCATGAAAGTAGTGCAACTGATGTGCTTGTCATCACAGTGAGTGTGATGGCAGCAATAACAGCGTTAGTATTTGGTAGCAGTGACTGTCTCAGCGTTGGTGATAGATTCAGTAACAACAACGCTCACCACAACAGTATCGTAGTCGTCGTAGTCTTGGCGGCGCGGTGGCCGTGGACGTAGCAGTAGTCGCAGTAGTAGTCGTCGTCGTAGTCGTCGTCATCGCGGTAGTGGTCGTGGTGGTGGTCGTGCTGCTGGTGGTGGTGGTGGTGATGGCAGCATTTGTAGCGAGGATTTTGAGTTTCTCGTAGCAGGAGTACCAGTAACATTGACATGGCTTGCATGGTCATCAGAGCGATTCTTGTAAGATAAAGCGAAGTCTAACGATACCACAGGTGCCCGGATCAGTCGCCATGCTATAGAGACGGGAACGCTAGATATGATAGCAGTCACAAAAGTGTCCCAACAAGAACTCGCATTTAAATGTTCCGGGCCGATGTTTTCATGCAACTACGGAAAACCATCCCCCCGGCTGCCCCTCACTTGGAGGTTCATGGCTAGTTAAAAGTGGGGTTATAAGTCCCCTAATATGGGTTATAACTATAGTTACTCTACTTATAACCCCACATATAATTACCCATCAACCTCCAAGCAGTGAGAGGGGGAGTTGAGCTCAGGTGCCGCCTGCACGGCGCCGCGTGTCCTTGCCTGGTCCGCCGCACGGCAGCCCGCCCATGGATAGCGGTGCACGCCTGAGGGCTCAGGCAACTCGGCTTTGCATTTTGAGCAGGTTCAATAAACCCTAACCCCTAAACCCTAAACTCTAAACCCTAGCGACCGAGGCCAGAGAGGAAGCCAAGGCAGAGCTGGAGAAGCTGTGCCTATGCTGCAACAGGCAGTTTGTTCTTGAGCAGCATGCCATGAGGCAGTGGTAGAAGAAGTAGTGGTAGTAGTAGTAGTAGTAGTAGTAGTAGTAGTAGTAGTAGTAGTAGTACTACTACTACTACTACTGCTACTACTGTTACTGCTACTGCTACCACTACTACGACGACTACTGTGACTGCTACTTCTACTGCTACTGCTACTGCTGCTACTGCTACTGCTGCTACTGCTACTGCTGCTACTGCTACTGCTACTTCTGCCGCCACTGCCACTGCCACTGCCACTGCCACTGCCACGGCGACGACGACGGCTGCTGCTGCTACTACTACTGCTACTGCTACTGCTACTGCTACTGCTACTGCTACTGCTACTGCTACTGCTACCACTACCACTACCACTACCACTACCACTACCACTACCACTACCACTACCACTACCACTACCACTACCACTACCACTACCACTACCACTACCACTACCACTCCTACTTCTACCATAGCTATAGGGCCTGAAATCAAGCGCTTTTGTTGACGTTGCTGGTAGACGTTGTGCTTTTCTTCGTCGCTGCTAGTGTTGTTGCTGTTCTTGGTGCTGTTGAGGCAGTTTTTTGCTTGAGCTGCTGTTGTTGTTCTCTTAGTATTCACATTGTTCTCTTTTTCCGTTGTCGTTCCGCTTGTCTTCTTGCCTTCTGCCCGCTTTTCTTGTTGCTACTACTTGGGTAGTTCTCAAAATCAGGGACCCTTTTCTGTCCTCAGACTGAATGGTGCGGCACCCTTGTCATAAGGACCTTATACGGGACCCGTTTCTGGAGAATTACCCGTTTGTGGCACAGCAGCCAAGGTCCCGCACAGCGCCTTCGCCGCCCTCGAGCTGCTTTCCTAGCCTGAAGCTGCCCGAGCCCGGTGGGCCACAACCGCAGCTCAAGAAGGACATAGCGCAATATACTTTGTAATCAACATGAGTATAGCTTTTAGACGTTACACTATAACGTAAGAAAGTGTAATCTGAAAAAATGTAGTATAGCTTTGTGACATCATGTGAAAAGGAATACGTTGCAATATAATTAATATTGTTCCCTTAAGGTCTCAGTTAGAGACCTAGCAAAATCTCACCTGAAGCCCTTTTCTCATTCATTAGGGCCCGTGCGTGAGGCCCCACAGACGGTGACATATCCACAAACCCAAACCCCAAACCCGAAACGTCAAACCCCTAAACTGCCTTAAACCCGAAAGCCCAAACCCCAAAGCCTAAACCTCAAACCCTATAAACAAACCCAGACCCCAAAACCTATATAGCTCTATAGACCCTCTCATGAGAGGACCGACTGCGAGAGCCTCCACAGATGTCGGGAGTCCAGAGCTTCCCGGCGTAGAAAAATCGTGTTGTCATCATTTTTGCAATTTTTTAAAATTTGTTGTTTTTGTCATTACTCGTGACTCGTATTATTGCTATTGTCATTGTAACTATTATTATTATGACTAATACCTTCAGTGTTTTATCAACTGTTGTTGCTAGTCTTGTTGCAAGAAGTTGTGTTAACACTACCACTACCATAAATTATCATGATTACTACTAGTGAAGGGCGTAGAGGGTGGAGTTTGGAGTTTAAGATGCAGGGCCCTAAGCCCTAAACTTGCAGGGTTCAGGACTTCGGTATTTTATTTGGGTGCCTCGCCCGATCTTGGATAACGGGCTCAACGGATTCTCGCACTACTTCCATTCTCCTGTCCGAGTCGTCTGAATCAGTTTGGCCTGTCGAAGTCTGTCCTTCTCGGATTTGCGTTCCAGTGGTAAAATCCCAGCAAGCTTTGAAGTGGCTCTCCTACAAACAAAGAACAGACCGGATACGGCAAGTTTGAAGTCATAAAGCCCTGAACAAAGAACTCACGGTTTGGGGCAAGACAAATTGCATCAAGAGGAAGAACGTACGTAAACAAGAACGCAACAAGAAGAAGAGACGAACAACAAGAACGATGAACAACAATCACAAGGATAGTAACGATAACGGTAATAAAAGCACTAATGAGATTGCGAAAACGATGACAACACAGCACGACCAGCGCTAGTAGTAGGTCTAGCCTAGCTATAGTAAGGGTATAAACTGAGGATCCCGATCCCCAAATCCCTGAACTCTAAACCCTAAACTTAAACCCTAACCCCGAAATAGACCCCTTATAGGAACCCTCATCGATCCATTTGGGTGGTTGTCAAAATTGTGATACTTTTTTTGGGTCGCTAATACCTTTTTGGGTCCCTAACATAATACGGTACCTATTATTTAGAGTACCCTGAGTACCCCAAAAACGGACCCTAATTTTTGGAACTACCCAATTTGAAGGAGCCCTCGACCCCGAAATTAAACCCTAACCCCTTAATCGAACCCTTATCCCTTATAGGAACCCTTATGGGTGGTTCATGGGTAGTTATAAGCGGAGTACTAAGCAGGGTAACTATAGTTATAACCCATATTAGGGGACTTCTCACCCCACTTATATCTACCCATGAACCTGCAAGTATAGATCCCTTTCTAGGAGCCCTAAGCTCCCGATGAAAGCACATTTACAGGATCATGAGACTTAGTAACTAGGGTAAAAAGTAAAGTAACTATACTTATAATTACTTATAACCCTAATTAAGGTACTTATAACCATACTTACTAAGTCCCATTATCCTCTAAGCAGGCCTCGGGCTTAGCCCCGAGCTTGGCCGTGGGACAACGGCCTGGGCTGCGGAGGGAAACTCGGAGCCACGGCAGGAAGTCAGTTCCCTTACCTTTGTCACTTAAACCCAATAAGGAATAAGAGCTTAAATTTTTAATCCCATCCCGACCATGAACTAGTTCAAGGGATCTACGAGGGGTTCCTTTACAGGGATCTATAAGGGTTCCTGTAAAGGTATCCAATTATATAAGGGGGTCAGATCTATGTATATATATATATACACATACTGTAAGGGTTCGTACAAGGATCTATAAGGGTTCCTTTAAAGATATCCATGAGGGTTCTATTAAGGGGTTCATATATATATATATATACACACACACTATAAGGGTTCGTACAAGGGGTCTATAAGTGTTCTATAAAGGGTTTTCGGGTTTAAGGTTAGAGTTCAGGGGGTAGGGTGTAGGGTTTAGGAGGGTTGAGGGTTTCGGGTTTACGGTTGAGGGTTTGAGATTTTGGGGTGTGGGGTTTCGGTTTTCACATTTTGCTTGGGAGCTTCTCATGGGCATGTATTGCAGTGCCTTTAGAAGTTCGTGTGATCTCCCTCCGGGTGTCGGAGGAGTTTTTGCACAGCTCAGCCCACAACCCAAGGGCGCAGGGAGCCTATAGGTAGAGCTACACTTAGCCCTAAGCCCCAAAACCCGAAACCCCAAACCCTGAACCCCAAACCCAAAACCCTTACAAAACGCTCATCCCAGGTGATCGCCTCTCGCGACTTTACGAGCCGACCCCGTGAGCCCAACGCACCTCAGGTTTTGCAGGTCCTCCACGAGGAGTCCGGTTTAGGGTTTGGGGTGTGGGGTTTAGGGTTTAGGGGTTTAGGGTTTATGGTTGAGGAGTCCCGTGAGGGTTCTGCAAGGCTTCGTGAGGAGGTTCCATAAGCTCTCTACAAGGGCTCTATGACTCTATAAGGGTTCTAAGGGTTCCAGAAGAGTATGGGGACCAGGTCTGAAAGTCGGGGTCGAGGTATGGAAGGATGTTTTGGAACTAGGATCACTGTTTGGGTCCTTCTGCAGAGTGAGCTCACATTCAAACTTAGGTAAATTGATATTGGAAGGGAACCCTTGTCTATAGTCAAAACTTATGTCTGGAGGGCCTGGCATTGAGTCATGCGCGGCCGGCCGGGGCATTTGCAGCTAGGTTTCAAAGTTAGCGGATTCGCCACTCTCATCTTTCAACCCTTTTCAGAGCAACCTATAAAAGGGATGAGGGCTTAGGGCTTCGGGCTTATAGGTCCTCTGTTTCCGGACCGCGGAGCGGACCCTACCGTAGCTTCAGGCCTTGGACCCCCGAAAGGAAAGTCAATAAATCCCAAATCCGAGAGCCCTTTTGAGGATTTCTGATTTCGGATAGGATTGGGTTGGGGCCGTAAAGCCTAAACTCCTAAACCCTAAGTTCGAAACCCTAGAAGTTCTCAATCCTAAACCCTGAAGTCTAAACCTGACAACCCCTAAGCCCTAAACCCTCATCCCCTTTATAGAACCCTTCTACGTGCCTTTTGAAGGAACCCTTTATAGATCCCTTTAAAGGAACCTCATGGGAACCCTTTATAGATCCCTTTAAAGGGGAGCGCTCTAAGCCCGAAGCCCTAGACCCTGTACCCTAAACCCCCAGATCCCCCCAACCCCCAAATGAACCCTAAACCCTTTACCTTAAACCCTAAACCTCCAAATCCCCGAACCCTAAACCCTAAACCCTAAACCCTAAACCCTAAACCCTAACCCTAAACCCCATAAGCCCGAAGCCCTACAGTCCGAAGATCCAGGAGGCTCCTCTGGGTCCGTTGGTCCGTGTCGAGGCAGGGGCATCCATTCAGGACCCCAAGATGGGAGTTTCCAATAATTAGGGGTACCTTCCTAGAGACTCCCATATCCTTTAATTAAGGATTATTCCTGAAATTATACTAGGATCCCTTGTGATTTAAGGAACATTCCTTAATGAAGGGATATTGGAGTCTTTGGGTTATTTGGGTGTTCTTACATGAAGGACACTGCTATTTAGGGTGCGATATTAGGGTCCCCTATTTTTGGAAATTTCCAGATAGTAGGATTCAGATGAGGAGCCCTAATAACGGCCCAAGGACTCAGCTTTTCTGGGTTTAGGGTTTAGGGGTTTGGGGTTTAGGGTTTAGGGTTTAGGGAGTACCATACTTTAGTATGTTTTCTTAAAGAAGCAAGCCATTTTTCTCCCTGGTTACGTACTTAAAAGCCCAGAATAGTTAGAATAGGGTTCGTTTAAAGGGATCCTGAAAGGGATCTATACTAGTGTATCCATTCAGGGCGGAAGCTGTAATTTAGGGGCCTTTAAAATGACCTTTTGGGTCCCTTTAAAGGGGTCTATATAAGGGTTACTCATTATGACCCCAAAACCCTATTGTAATTCTTCAGGCCCTATAGTAAAAAGAAAATTAGGGCGTTTTGCACTTCGAACAGGGCTTCGGAGGTTTTGATACTATTGTAACTGCTAACCCTAGGGAGAAATAGTATGCAGGCTTATGTAGTAGAGGTTTCAGACGACCCGAAACCTGAACCGCTGAATCCTAAGTCGAAGATACTTCCCAACAATTCATATGGGAGTTTCCGAAAATAGGGGACCCTAATATAGTACCCTGAATAGTAGGATCCTTATTATACGGACCTCCAAATAAGGTACCCCTTATTTTCGGAAACTCCCACACCTATACTATCAGCACATCCAGGAAGACTGGTACCAATTCAAGCCGCAAAAGGTAGTAGCCTAAGATTGATGGTTCAGGACATACTGGATTAGAGTTCAGGTTTCAGGTAGGGTGTAGGGCCAAGGGCTTAAATGTTAGGGTTCAGGGGTTTCGGGCTTAGGCTTCGGGGTTCAAGCTTTCTGTCTTGCTCCAGGTGTCTCGCCGGAACCTTTCCTTTCGCAACAACGTGACCTTGAAACCTACTGGCAAACGAAGGGACCTTAATGATTGGAATATGACAGTATAAACATGTAAGGACCATATGGGAATACATTCTCCTAGCCATTCACGGTTTTGTACCGGCCATGAGCCCCAAACGGTGTTAAACCTGAACTTAGGGCTTGGATGCTAATTGTCAAGGCTCCTGCACAAGTCTACAAGAACCCTACAGCTTATAAGCTCAAAACCGTGAGGTTTTCCAACCAGCAGCGGCGAGGGTGATCTCTGCGCCGGGTCCTTCGCAGCCGCTGCATGGCTGGAGTCTTCAAAACTCTGAGTTCCGCCCCCGAAATCCCTAAACCTTAGGCTTACAGTGCAGTAGTAGAGACCCTAAATCCAGCCCACGTCCGAGAAGAGCCGTAGGGCTTCGTAAGATTTTGGTTTCGTAGGATTCTACAGACGAAGCAATCGATGCCGTTTTGACCTAGGCCACCATTCGATGGTCCCGACAGTCCCGGACCACCGGGTGCCAACGAGGCGATAGCGTGCCAAGTAGCATTCAAGTTAATGCACGTGGGCTTTCCAGATCAGGTCTAGGCTATGTGCAGCCTTCCGGGGGTCAGGATGTGGAGCAACGACATGTGTTTGATTTGCAGCACTTTCGGGGTCAAGGGTGTGGGAGAAGCATCCTTGCGCCGCCAGCGCTTCTGGTGATGTGCGGGTGGTGTCTAGTGTCACGCTTTCTCGATCCTGACGCCCTCAGATGGCGTTGATGCCAAAATTAGGGTCCCTTTTTGGGTCCTGAATATAACACGGCACCTAATATTTACGGTACCCAAAAAGGGACCCTAATTTTGACAACTATCCATCCTTTGTTTGTGAAGTTGAAGAGCCATTCGGAGCCTACCTGGCAAACCATGTGAACTTCGATGGCAGCCAACTCATGGGCAAGAGAACTGGCATGCACATATCCAGCTCCTCCTTGCCAGCCCTTTTGTTGTATTATACTATACTGTACTATACTCTACTTTGCTATACTATACTAGACAACACCATGGAGATATAATATCCTTGGCCCTTCAGGGATCCCGTCCGGCGTCGAAGTCCGGAGACCGTCCCAGCGGCGACGGCAAGGGCGACTCACCACCGTCCGCTGGTCCAGGGCCTGAGGCCAGCGGAGCCGCTAGAGACGCTTGGGTTTAGGGCTTTAGGGCTCAAGGGGTTAAGGGCTTAGGGGTAGGGCTTAGGGGAATTAGGGTTTATTCGTTTGAGCCAAGTCTCCAGTGTGGGATGTGATGCACTTTCGGGTGCCTGGCTGCGTTTGACGTGCAAGTTACAGGGGATGCAAAGAAATAATTGTTTTTTTGATGCTAAGTATGGGTTTGTAGACTGATAATAGGCAGATGAGCAATAGACAAAAGCGATAAAGTTGCTGAAAATGATATGGGGCCTGGGGCAGGGTTTTCGACCTGCTCGACCACGAAAATTAGGGGTACATTATTTTGGAGTCCTTTTAATAGGGATCCGACTATTTAAGGGTACTATATTAGGGTACCCTCTATTTTTCGGAAAACTCCCACCTTAAACCCTGTAAGCCGTCTTAGAACCCTTATAGATCCCTTGCAGGAGCCCTTGTGGTACCTTTTAAAGGAATCCGCTTAGGGTCCCCTTTTCTCGGAAACTCCCAAATCTTTTGCACGTGGTGCAGCCAGTCTCATCTCGGGTACTACCATATCATAGAACTATACTATAGATCCCTTATAGCCCTCATAGGACCCTTTTAAAGAACCCTTTAACGGATCCTTTGCGCCCCTGCCCTTGAGTATCTGGACATCTGGCACACAAAGGTAGAAACTGCTGCAGAGATGATAAGCTTCCACTTTTCATGTTTCCTTTGGAGACGTACCGTTACCCTGCAGAATGATTCATGCTCGTAAAGTGAAATGCGGTCGTTATGCTGTTGAAGAATTTTGTGGCGCAGCATCGTGCAACTTACTTAGCTTGCGCCAGCAACACAACTCGAAATGTCTTGCGCGGGAATCATGCCGGTGATCGGGCCTTCGTCCAACTCTTGACTGCTGGCGTCGGAGCTGTGAGTACCATCATGTATTTTCCCCAAATCGAACTGATGCCTGACTTTGTGAAAGAGAAACTTGGCATGGGCATGTCGCAACGTCCAAACCCTTCGAGTCCAAAGGAACCCCCAAACCAATCCACATGCAGCAATATTAGCACTATACAATATCATATTGTTTTTTTGTAAAGTAAGCTGTACTGAACTATTCTGTATTATACTGTACTATACTATACTATCATACCGTACAATAAAATAGATAGATAACTTAGAAGCTGCCCCCACCCTGTAATAGTGGTATAATAGGAATATAATAGGGCCCTAATATAATCCTGTATAATCCTTATGGTCACTATTACAGGGTGGAGGCAGCTTCGAATAGATAACATATCCTTGACCTTGCACCCAGAGACTCCAATACCCCTTAATTAAGGAATACTCCTTAAACCATATTAGGGATCCTATTATAATTTAAGGTATATTCCTTAATTAAGGGGTTTTGGAGTCTCTGGGCAGGGGTCCTGTCCGGCGCCGAAGGCCGGCGACCGGCCCGGCGACTCGCCTCCGTCGGATTCTCCTGTGCCCGGGGTCGCTGGGTTGCAAGAGAAGGGCACTTTTGGGATTGGGGTTTAGGATTTAGGGTTTAGGGTGTAAGAGTTCAGGAGTTTAGGGGTTTAAGGGTTTGGGGTTTAGGGTCTAGGGGTTTAGGGTTTAGGGGTTTAGGGTTTAGGGGTTTAGGGGTTTGGGGTTTAGGGTTTAGGGTGGGGAGGACCTCTGCGTCTGTCTGGAAATATGTAATGTTGTATTTGTAGATGTATTACTGATACATTGTATATTTTATCACGGTACACAAACAGCTGCATAAACAGCCAAGGACGTAGAGTCTTGGCATGGGTAGGCGAGAGTTTGCTGCTCTAAGGCGGACACCTGAGAGCCCCAACGTACCCCACTAGAACGGTTTAGGGTGTAGGGTTTTAGAAAGGTTTAAGGTTTAGGGGTTTTGGGTTTAGGGTTTCAGAAAGGTTTAAGGGTTTTGGGTTTTGGGTGTGAGTAGGGTTGAAGGTTTAGGGTTGAGGATGAAGTAGAGCTAGACAACATTGTAGATTGGAGCATGACGGATATCACGCCCCTGTCCTCGGGCAGGCAAAGATACCTGGGCTGAAAGCTCCACAAGAGAGCAGAGAAGATGCCCCAGCGGTGGAGGAAGCGCGGCCTCAGCCCGCGATGGGCCAAGAAGGGATCCAGGGTTGGGCTGGGGGACGGCTTCCTGAAGCATGCACCAGATGAGTAGTTCTTGACTAACCATTGATATTAGAGGAGCTAAAGAGCCAGGGATGATGATAATCCCTATTAAATAAGGAGCTAAAGAGCCATGGAACCCTCAAAACCACTGGTTAGTTGAGAAGGATGGGTTTCGGGTTCAGACCCGCGGCACAGGACGCGCAAGCATCTGGGCGTCATTCAAGCCATGGTAGGTTACTCGATAGACAACAGCTGATGAATTCTCGCACAGGGGAATGAACCATATGAAGCACACTTTCATACAAAACGGCAGAGAACGATCCCTGAAGCCCTAGCGCTGGAAGCCTAAGCACTAGTACCTCTGACTGCCCAGGTGTCCCGTCCCCGTCCGTCACCGGAACCCGGTGACCGGCCATGCGGCCACCCGGGCAATGGTAAGGGCGACTCTTAGTAGCTGAGTGGATACACTTTACACTTTTTGGGATAATCTTACCCAATATTAAACAACCCTAAACCCTAAACCCTAACTGAAAGCGTACACTTTTTGGGGGCGTATGAGCTCAGCATCTAAGGACTCACCACCGAAAGGCGGTCCCGGGCTCATCGCAGCTGGGCCGCAGGCGCTTGGGGAGTTTTTAGCGGGCCTTCCGTGCAACGTCAAAGAGATGAGTTGCAGGTTTGAGGGTGATAGATGAGTCAAACTGTATATACATATATACATATATGTCTCTCTCTCTCTCTCTCTCTATATATATATATATATATACATACCCATATCTGTGTGTGTACCTGCTGCGTAGCTCAAGCCAGCATACTAGCCAGCACGAACGTGGCTAGAGTCAGTTGCCTATACATTCAAGAAACTGGTCCCGAAAAGAATAGCAAGCGAAAGATAAGATGATACAGAGAAATACAGAGCATGAAACGTAGTAATAATATCCGGAGGAGAGACACACAGTGCTTTGTGTTCGTGGTCCGGAGAGTTTCGCAGCACAGCAGGGAAGTGCCGTTCGCACCTTGCAGTCTTTGAGTTTAGATGGCAGCCACCGGATTATCTTACATACATTGACACTGCAAACCGAGTTTTTCGAGCGGTGTGTGGATGTTCTCGAGCTCCGGTTACAGGCAACGAAGCCCGGGCCGAAAGCTCCATGCGAGAGAGCGGATGGCCCACCAGCCGCGGAGGAAGCTCTGTCGCACTTCCCTGCCCTCCTGAACCCTGAACCCTAAACCCTGACCCTTAACCCTAAGCCCTAAACCCTGAAGCCAGAACCTTGAACCCTTAACCCTAAATCCTGAACCCTAAACCCCTAACCCTGAACCCTGAACCCTAAAGCCTGAACCCTGAACCCTTGAACCCGAAACCCCTAGCCCTGAACCCAGACGTTTCGGGCGGCTCGGGGGATGGGCTGAAGCAGGCTTTCAGGCAAGTATATTCACATATACGCGCACTATAAACATGCAGAGAAATGCAGAGCATAGGAAGCAAGTAAGTTTTGAACGCAAGTAAGTACGTAAATCAATCAATCAATCAATCATTCATCAAATATACAACTAAGTTCTTGTCCAGACAGAAGTACACAGGTGAGTATAAACATGTACAAATACATAAATACAAATACATTTTCATAAATAGTATGTGCAGATATATATATATATGTATATATATATATATATGTGTATATGTGTCTATGTAGAAAATATACATGTGCACACACAATGAAGACGTTGGGACCGAAGCTTAGGATCCTGGCTAGGAAGCGCCCGCTGCTTAAGTGTGCTGGTGGTCACGCAGATTGCATGGTATCCAAATGCTATGGCAAGTCGTGCTACTGCTGAAGTAGCTTAGCGGCATACATGCCGTACTCCCAAATACCCTAAACCCTAAACATTAAAGTTCGTGGTACTCATGCGTAACATCTCCGTGTGATATGGGAGTTTCCGAAAATGGGGTACCTTATTGTGGGGTCCTTATAATAATATCTTACTATTTAGGGTACTATATTTCCCCTATGTTCGGAAACTCCCATATGCAAGTCCGAGCAGCAGGTGCCTCACTCTCCATACCTCTTTATGTTGTCCAGCGTAAATACCCGAATGCAGGAGCCAGCTTCCGTGAGCGAGAAGCCCGCCGCCTCAGTTGCAGGCCTTCTTGACCAACACGTACATATATATATATATATATATATATATGTGTGTGTGTGTATGTGTATGTATAGAATAAGTAGGTATACATATATATATATATATATATGTATGTGCAGATATGTATATACAGATGTATATGTATGTATATATATATATGTATATGATATGGGGTTCGGAACACTTAATAATAGTGTCTCCTTGTCGTTCCGTCTAACGAGTACAGTAAACTTTACTCTCCAAACCTGTTCTTATCATTAACGCAAAACCATACATTACGCCCAGGCAGTCTTGAATGGGACTCAGTGGTTTGAGGGTTCTGTTCAGGCTTATATCTAGCATGTCGTGGAAATTCCGGGACTGCTTGAGAAAACTCGAGGATAGCAATAGAAGCCCGGCGCACCCTGTGGCAACTCATGACATGTTCACAAGGCGATAAAAGCACAACCATGCGAAGCTATCGCAAAGGACAGGGCCTAGGGCCTCACGGCACTTCACGTGTCCTTTGCATAGAGGACCCGATGGTGCCATGCAGTCTAGCAGTGCACGTGGAGAAGCCTCATGGATGAGCCGATGTTACCAGCGGAGGGTATACAGGTTTGTGGACAAGCTAGTGTAGTTATAAGTGGGGCTATAAGTAGGGTAACTATAATTATAACCCATATTAGGGGAGCTTCACCCGAAATCTTCCACCTCTACACCGAAGCACAACACCAGAGACCCCAAGCCAGAGACCAACACACCTTGCACCCTGAAGCCCCTTCGCCCCCGGCTTAGCGGCCCCTTCGACACACCCTTGTACAGTTGATATGTAAGCCTATATAGTTGCCAGCACTTTTCCTTACGGCTTTGGGTTCCTTGTTATACTTGTACTACTTGGAGGTTCATGGGTAGTTATAATTGGAGTCATAAGTCCCCTCGTATGGGTTGTACTTATAGTTACCCTACTTATAACCCCACTTATAACTACCCATGAACCTCCAAGTATACTATACCCCCCAAAACCCTCAAAGTAGCCTTCTCTGAGAGGCACTGCTGTGATCTTGCAGCCCAGTGCTGCTGCGGCCCCAGAATGGTGAGCCCAAACTCTACCGGCAACTGATCACGTAGACCGGGTTTATGGCTTAGGGTTTTGTTGAATTTGGGGTTTAGGGCCGTTTAGGGTTTTTATGGCCAGCCGATCATGTAGACTCACGGTTCAGGCTTTCGCCAACCGATTATGTAGACTCGGTTTAGTGTTCAGCATCTTTGTGCCATAGCAGCAGGATGCTTATATAATCTCGGTCGGGAGACGGGGGGGGGGGGGGGGTTTATGAACCCTAAACCCTAAAACCCCTTTTCCAGTAACACCACAAGCAATCCTGCGAGGATAGAGGTGTCATTGAGTCACTGCCGTGTGCTGCCAGAGTGCTGTTTGTCCGAACCCTTGGACATTTATTTGGCCCTGGTCCCAAACTCCAGACCCGTTACCCTAAACCCCCAATCCCTTCAATCGAACCGTTTTAGATCCCTTCTAGGAACCCTTATAGATCCCTTTAACGGAACCCTTATAGATCCCTTTAAAGGAACCCTCATAGATCCCTTTAAAGGAACCCTTATAGATCCCTTTAAAAGAGCCCTAAACCCTCCTGGGAGTCCCCTGAGCAGACTTAGCGCTGGTCCCCAGATCATTTTTTCCGGAAGGCTGCTCAAGACCTTCGCATCGTGTTTGTCTTTCACAAGTGGCTATGGGTTTAGGTTTAGGGTTTAGCGTTTAGGGTTTCGGGGTTGGGGTTTAGAGTTCGGAGTTGAGGGGTTACAGTAGGGTTTAGGGGTCAGGGTTTAGGCTTCGAATAGTGAAGATAGAGAGCAGTTTATTTTAAGATTCGCGGTTGAACGGTGTTTAAAGTTTATTGCACACCCATCCATCCATCCGTGCATGCATGCTTATGTACTTGCCTACATACATACTTCTTCTTCTTATTCTTATGATTGGGCCCCATCATCCTGCACGACCTCTGCCGGCTTGCACAAGGGAGTTAGAACTAGTTACAACGCCTCAGTCCTACAACAACTCCGAAACAACATCCTAAACTTCCACTCCTGGACCGGGATCCCCCTAAACTAAACCCCAAACCCTCGGATCCCTCAATGTTCAAGACGGAGCCCATGGTCCGACTCAGCTCGGGAAGGGGTGCAGCGTAGACCACACAACCCCACGCCAATGAATGAGCCGTGCACCCCCAGCCCTAAACCCTAAAACCCAACCCCGAAACCTCTAAACCCCGAACCCCTGGAGCCCTAAACCCTAAGCCGCTTGAAGCTGTTCGAGGTGGACGTCCTCGCATCTAGCCCCAAGGCGAAAGTCAAGCTCCGCATCCAGGCATTCTTGACACGGGTGGGTTGCTCAATAACATGACTATGGTATACTATACTCCAAATAGGCTAATGATTAGCCGCTAATCTCATCATTAAGGCCCCTTGTATAAGCTCATTCCTTCTATGCTTACTCTTGTCCCTCTCGATCTCAGCAAGGGTAGTACAACTGCCATCGCTCTTGTTAGTCTTATGCCGTCAATCCTGTGCGCGGTCTTATGGAAGCAAACCTTGTGGTTCAGATCATTGTCGTTGTTCTTCCATGTCTGCTTTTGCGTCGATCAATCCTGCTCTTTGCCCTCCTTGAGCCCTGACCTTGACACCACGTATCTGTGCCTTGAACTATGTCCCAGATTTAGGGTTTCACTTGTGTGAGGTTTCAGGCCATGTCTAGGGTGTTTTCGGATGGAAAACAGGCACTGCAATCCAGGTAATGATGGTGCTGTCTGGCCATCTGGCTGTCCTGTTTCTGTCATTTCCTTATCCTTCCTCGAGCTCTCTTGTTGTGGTATTACCCCGTAACCCCAAGCCCTCAGCCCGAAACCCAAAACCCTCATCCAAACCCTAAACCCTACACCGCAGACCTCTTTCATGGTTTGTCCTCAGTTTCCGCTGTTTTGCCACCATGGCATATACCCTAAGGCCCCAAAGTAGATCATTTTTGGGGTTCATATATAGAATCCTACAAGGTAATCCCAAAAAGTAGATCATTTTTGGGGTTCATATATAGAATCCTATAAGGTAATCCCAAAAAGGAACTACTTTGGGGCCCATGGGCATAGCCTGTTCAGGCAGCTGACATGGCCAGCGGAAGTCCCACGGTCGTCAGCGAGGCTCGTGTACATGCAAATATACATGTGTATATATATATATATACACATGTATATATATATATATATATTATATATATATGTATGTAATGTATGTATGTATGTATGTATGTATGTGTATATATGTACTTATTATATCATAATACATAACATATACTATATACTGTATGATATATTAATATGTTTATCTATGAATATATATATATATATATATATATATATATATATACATACATATATATATATATATATATATATATATACATAAACATATACATACGCCATTTTTCTTAGTATGGAGCATCGTTTTTGTCTTGGTTGGGATGGTTGAGTGCGTTCCTGCAGTAGGTTGAGGGAGCACAAACCTTTCAACTTGCGAGGGGCACTACTGCAGTATGACCCGTCCGAAACCCAACACTTCGCTCATCCAGCCCCGCTTGCTCGTACATGTCACTCCGAATCAAATCTTAGTTCCGGATTCTCAAATCGGGGTTTCCGATAATGGGGGACCTTAATATAGTACCCTAAATGATAGGATTCTGATTACGTATAAGGACACCAAACAGGTACCCCTAGTCCTCGGAAACCGAAGCAGCAAGCCGCCGCCGGAATATCTGCGACTCACCGAACTTGGCTTCCCAAGCCCCTGCCCTACCCCTGCCAAGTTTTGGGGTTTAGGGGTTTAGGGTTCAGGGTTTAGGGGTTTGATAGGGTTTTGCCATAAACCTCAAGCCGAAATTCAAGGGCTCTGCTGCCGGTTTGGCGCCTGGAGCTTGCATGGAAGCCTGGCCCAATGCTGGAGGCAGTCGGGGCTCTGTGGTTCCAAGTTGGCGTTGTCTTCAATACCATGACCTGCTCCTTTAACTTTAGAATCCTTACATTATCATGGGGACAAGTAGCTTTATACTATGACGACGGCTTCGGGACCTAGCCGCATCAGCGCAAACATCATCGACGGTATCAGCACGATCGTGATCATTGCGAGGTCCATTTTGATGTTGATGTTGTTGATGATCACAATGATAAGAGGAGTAGCTGGGATATCAGCAATAGTCATCGTTATCGCTGTCGGCGTCGTCGTCGCCGTCTTCCTCGACACGCTGTCCCGCCTTGTCTTGCAAGCTACCATCGCGACCATGGTTTATCCCGTCACACCAACACCATCACCATCCACGCCAGCAGCACCAGCAGCACCAGCAGCACCAGCAGCACCAGCATCACCAGCAGCCCCAGAAGCACCAGCAGCAACAGCAGCAACAGAAGCACCAGCACCAGCATCAGCAGCACCAGAAGCGCCAAAAGCGCGAGCAGCACCAGCAGCAAAAGCAGCACCAGCAGCACCAGCAGCACCAGCAGCACCAGCAGCACCAGCAGCACCAGCAGCGCCAGCAGCGCCAGCAGCACGAGCAGCATCAGCAGCACCAGCAGCACCAGCAGCACCAGCAGCACCAGCAGCACCAGCAGCATCAGCAGCACCAGCAGCACCAGCAGCGTCAGCGCCAGCACCAGCACCAGCAGCGCCAGCACCAGCACCAGCACAAGCACCAGCAGCACCAGCAGCACCTGCAGCACCAGCACCAGCAGCACCAGCAGCACCAGCAGCACCAGCAGCACCAGCAGCACCAGCAGCACCAGCAGCACCAGCAGCACCAGCACCAGCAGCACGAGCAGCACGAGCAGCGCGAGCAGCGCGAGCAGCGCGAGCAGCACCAGCAGCACCAGCAGCACCAGCAGCACCAGCACCAGCACCAGCACCAGCACCAGCAGCACCAGCAGCACCAGTAGCACCAGCAGCACCAGCAGCACCAGCAGCACCAGCAGCACCAGCAGCACCAGCAGCACCAGCAGCACCAGCAGCACCAGAAGCACCAGAAGCACCAGAAGCACCAGAAGCACCAGAAGCACCAGCGCCAGCACCAGCGCCAGCGCCAGCACCAGCGCCAGCACCAGCGCCAGCACCAGCGCCAGCACCAGCGCCAGCACCAGAGCCAGCACCAGCGCCAGCACCAGCGCCAGCACCAGCGCCAGCACCAGCGCCAGCACCAGCAGCACGATGATGATGACGATGAGGAGGGCAAGGAGGAGGATGGTCATGATTGGGATGGTGGTGATGATGACGATGATGATGATGAAGAAGAAGAGGAAGATGAGGAAGAGGAAGATAATGATGATGGTGGTAGCGTTGTTGTTGGTGGTGGTGGTGGTGGTGGCGGCGGCGGCGGTGGTGGTGGTGGCTGTGGGGGTTTGGTGCTTCTGGTGCTGATGGTGCTGCTCGTGCTATCAGCAGCATCATCGTCACAACCATCATCATCATCATCATCGCCAGCATCATCATCATATCCCTCCTGTGGTTGTATGTAGTATAATGGAAAGCAATTCTGCGAAGACTTCTCTGGGAGGCATGTCTAAAGCCGAGACGCCCGCATCAGACGCGGCCTCAGAGATTTCGATTATGTTCAGCCTTTATCCTACAGTGCATGGCATACACACAGGGTGGAGGGCCGAACTAAGTTTCCTGTTTGGGTCCATGATGCATGATGGTCCAGTTTTATAGAGCCTGCACCCGGGCGGAAAAGGCATAAAGCCGACACAGGACCTGTGTTTTTTCAGCTGAGGCGCTGGATGAGCCGAGACATGCAGGAGTCCGCTTGCATCTTGGGGCAAACGGTTGAAGCATATCCAGTATCCCGGAGAAGGATAGTGAACTTGGGTCTATATCAACTGTTTTATCGACATGCGGAGGTCCAAGACCGGACTTCAACAAAGGTTCAATTTGGCCTCGGTTGGATTACCGTGTGCAAAGCCACCCATTCCTCGTCATCCTCCTCCTCCCCCTCCTCCTCCCCCTCCTCCTCCTCCCCCTCCTACAACTACGACTGCTACTGCTACTACTACTACTACTACTACTACTACTACTCCTGCTACTACTACTACTACTACTACTACTACTACTACTACTACTACTACTACTACTACTACTACTACTACTACTACTACTACTACTACTACTACTACTACTACTAACTACTACTGCTAGTGCTATCGCTACTGCTACTGCTGCTGCCTCTCTTGCTCCAGTATTTTCTCCTGCTCCTCCTCTTCCTCTTCTTCCTCCTACTCTTCGTACTCCTCCTACTCCTACCGCTGCTCCTCCTACTCCTCCTCCTCCTACTCCTCCTACTCCTCCTACGCCTACCCCGGCTACTCCGCCTACTCCTCCTATTACTGGAACTTCTCCTGCTTCTGCGATTCGTCCTAGTACTGCTGCTGCTGCTGCTGCTGCTGCTGCTGCTGCTGCTCTGGTTGCTGCCGCTACTACAGCTCCTCATGCTTCACCTACGACTGCGAATATGACTGTGACGGCGGCTACTGCAGCCGGCCCCGAGATCTGCAACTGAACTACAGCGGCTTTGTTGTTTCCACTGCACCTATATTTCATAGGCGCAGCAGAATATGGTTCGTCTGTACTCATTACGCAATACTAGAGGAGGCTGTACCATATAGGTAGTAATACGCACGCTTCCATCATACTTCTCTGCGCTAATTGCCGGTCGTGGACCGCGGAATACAGACAGCCTTGCTTGAAGGAGGCTCCCTTCCGGTGTGCAGCCCTTCGTCGCAGGCTCCGGGTAGTCACGAAGGTGAGCTGCTGTTGTGCCGACAGCAACAACACGAGCAGCAGCAACAACAGCAGCAACAAAGACGACTGTTTTAGTACTTGTACGACGCCTTCTAAAGCCACTTCTACTTTTTATCATCATCATCGTTATCATCAGTACTTGGAGGTTCATAGGTCGATATAAGTAGAGTTATAAGTCCCCTAATATGGGTTATAGTTGTAGTTACCCTACTTATAACCCCACTTATAGATCCCCATGAACCTCCAAGTCGGCGCTAAACCCTATACCCTTATAGAACGCCCTCTAGATCCTTTCATATTTAAAGGAGCCCTTAAAGGAATTCTTATAACTTCCCATGAACCTCCAAGCATTGTTAGAGCCCTAGCCCAGCCAGGAGCCGGGTTTTGATAGTGCTGGCTCCCACAACCTGGTCTCGGACCTGAGGGGATGAAGAAGTCGGGTCTTGTCCTTCAGGCTTAGGGCTTTTAGGGTTTAGGGTGTGTTGAAGCCTCAGATTCTCCGGCTCTGAGGATGTTGGCGCATGCGGAGTGCGTCAGGACTCTCGGATTTTGCGCGAACAAGGGCCAAGCTTTCGAGGCTCTGCCAGATTTCCCCAAACCAAGGGAGGTCGCACCTCCTCGAGCCAGCCCTCATCCAAGAATCAGGCGAAGCTCACCCAGTAAGATGGCACTAATTAGAATAGGGTTCCTTTAAGGGATCTATAAGGGTACTATAATAATTGTGATAGATACGGGCCTTAATTACTAGAATAAAGTTTTGGGGCCAAATAGACTATAATTGTCATAAGGAACCCCAAGATAGTATAGGTAATTATTAAGGCGCCTACAAAAACCCCCTATAGACGAGACCTTAGACTGTTGCCGGGGGGGGGGACCCCAGCAGAGCTTTTGTCAGGCCTTCGACGTCAAGGCGGAGGTGCTTTGCAGTTTTTTTGGGGGCCTGCCCTAAACCCTAAACCCTAAACCCTAAACCCTAAACCCTAAACCCTAAACCCTAAACCCAAACCGAAGCCCCGAACCCCCTGAACCCTCAGACCCCAAAGCCCCCCAGAGCCCCAACGCCCTAAACAGGGAGTACAATGGGATCTTATTCTAGGTAGGCCTTTGGGACATTTTATATTTTCCCTTATTGGGCTTAGTAGGACCCTATTTACGAATATTTTTCAGAGGCTTTAAGGGGCCAACCTAGTATTGCAAATTATGCCGACCCCAGTGTAGCCTACATGAATTATCTGCGTTAACGGTGTAGGCTTCGGGGATTGGCGCGTCTTTGATAGCACAAATCCTAGTATTGAGGGTCTCTCTGAACCCTTCGACTAGATCCACATACCAGGCTTGAAAGTTTTGGGAAGTGCAAGTCCCGTAAATCCTCACTGCCCTGCTAAACCTAAACGGTCGTCTCCTGGCCCCCTTTTGAAGGTTCAGGGCTTCGAGGCAAAACACAAGTACCATGTTGGGGGGTTATGAGTAAAACTCAAAAGTGCTAAACTCTAAACCGCAAGCCCCAAAGCCCATACGGATTCCTTGCAGAACCTTGGTTACCGAACCTAGAAGCAACCCCTCGCAGCTTTGCCTTACCTTTGGTTAGTAGGGAATGGAAGAATGGTAGTTATAGTAGTTATAATTGTACCCCATTCCTCCATTCCCTACCAACCAAAGGTAAGTTGCGTGCGAAGGTGCGCCGGGAGGTGGATTCACAACGGGCAGAGCTCCTCATGGAGACAACGAGGTGCCAGGTTTAGGGCCGTCTGATCGGTTTCAGGGGCCTGAATAGTGGGTTCTTGTTATAACGAGACCCGCTATAGGACAAACCCTGTTAGAATGGTTAAGGCTCCCAAGTTATTGTCTGAGAATGGTTAAGGCCCAAGTTATTGTCTGGAGCTTAGGGCTCAGTGGTTTTACGGCATGGAGAGTTTTGGCTTTAGGACTTCGGGGTAATCTCAGCCGCAGACAGCTTCGGGATGCTGACGGGCCACAGAACTGTGCATGTAAAGTTTAGTTTTTTGCTCTACGCCCCGAGCTCTGGACCCTGAACTCTAAACCCCTTAGGGTGTAGCCAGGGACTCAAGGGAGTCTAAACTTAGGAATGTTCGTCGGCTTCTAAGAGGGGTTGCATGAGAGCAGATCTTCAATCAGACGATGATGAAGTGTTCGACTCTCCTAAACCTAAACCCTAAACCCTAAGCCGTTTCAGAGCACAAAGGGGCTCAGCGAAGGATTCTTCAGGAGGGCTTTCTGTCTTGAAATGGCCGAAAGAGGATTATGCATCGGTTGGGCTTCATGTTTCTGGGTGGTGGAGTCGAAGCTGCGAGTGTTGAGGGGCAAATAGTGCCTGCTGGACTGTGAACCACTTAAAGGATCATGGGACTTAGTAAGTAGGTTATAATTGGGGCTATAAGTCCCCTAAGTGGGGTTACCCTAGTTATAACCTACTTATAACCTTACTTACTAAGTCCCATGAGCCTTCAAGCAGAGGAGATGAGTTTTGGCAACAGTCAACCCCAACCCTAAACCCAAACCCTGGCTTGCCGGGGGGGGGGGGGGGGATGGATGAGGAACAAGAACCCCAAGAGAGCTTCTAGTTGGGATCCTGCGCCATTACTAGTTACTAGCGGGTACTCTCACAAGCTTCGACCCATCACATGGCATAGACAAGTCTTTCGCATCATGGTGCCTGCTGACTCGGCGTCAAGAGGGGGAAAGCACAGGCTACATGTGGAGAAGCACCCTAAAATAGACAGCAATGTGCACCATGCATCCGACCCCTTAGACCTTTTCAAAAGGGCATGCTGTATTATTCAAGATATGTCACATACGATACTAAGCCCTACTGTGCTATACGGTGTTCTTCATCGCGTGACATCGCTGCTGGAAATCAAATGAAACCCCTAAGCCTGCCTCTCTGTCTGTCCTTAGCAATTGGTTTCCGGTAGATTCCTCGGGCGTGTCGCGGACATTGCAGTAGCCTTGGTTGCTGTTCCGCAGCTCGCTTTGCCTCAAGATCAGATCAATTTTGCTAACTTTTGTACCTCGAGGCCCGCTGCATTGCAGTTGCTTGGGTGTTGTTGGGAACTACAGTAACTACTTAGCGCTCTTTGTGTGCCGTCGGAGGTCCCATGTGCAGGGCTTGAAGTCAGACCCGATGGGCAACCAAGGTTGAGGCCCATGACGCAGTCCCAGACCTTTGTGGCAGAGCCCTCGCCTGCGGATCTTGCGAAAAATCTTCAGCAGCCGCTCGGGACGACAGAGTTCGATGAATCGTAAACCATATGGGTGGTTGTCACAATTATGGCCCTTTTTTGGGTCCTGGTACAATACGTAATATTTAGGATGCCCAAAAAGGTACCATCATTGTGGCAACCACCCATATAAGTCCTAAACCCGAAACCCTACAGCCTACTACACTCGAACTCCGAACACCGAGGCGTGTAACTATGTTCCGTTTTGGGGTTCATATATAGAATCCTACAAGGCAATCCCAAAAAGGAACTACTTTTGGGGCCTATGGGCACACCCGAACTCCGCAAGCACCGAGGCATGTAACTGTGTTCCGTTTTGGGGTTCATATATAGAATCCTATAAGGTAATCCCAAAAAGGAACTACTTTGGGCCTATGGGCACACCCGAACTCCGCAAGCACCGAGGCGTGTAACTATGTTCCATGCTGGTGAGGAGCTCTATTCTGGAAAGTGGCTAGCAGACTTTCAGAGTCTCGACAAGTGCCTGGCAACCGAGGTTTTAAAGTGCCGCGGGCCCTGGGAGCTAGGAATCACAGTGCGGACTGTTTTCACAGTTTTTGGATTGAGTTCGTTGTTGCCTGAAGCTTCTTAAGTTCGCTTAGGAAGACAGGGCTCACGGCATGGCACATCTGCATCGAGAAGCTTCAGATGGGCCCGCTGCACAGCTGCGACGGCGAGCTGCTGCAGGCCTTCTGCGCCCAAACGCTGGCACGGCTCTCGCGTGCCTTCGCGAGTTGGTTCCCTGATGTCGAGTCGCGAGCGATTGCGAGAGACTGCCTGGAGTCGCTGCTCACTGGGCATGCCCATGGGCAACTGGGTTCTTGTTCAGGGATTTACTTTAAGTTACCATAAGAAAGAAACCACATTGTTTACGATAGGTCCCTACCATGGTAACTTAAGTTTAAACTCCTTAGAATAAACGACAACTCAGGCAAAGTTTGGTTTGGAAACAGCTTGCTCTAGCCCTGGCTTGTGCAGAGCTTTGGCTTGGTACTTGGGCGGCAGCTGCTTCACTGAACTCCAGTCTCCCGGCGACCGTGAGGCGTGAGCTGCTGGTCCTACCAGCAGAGCTGCTCTTTGATGCCAAGGCTTAGGGACCCAAAAAGCACATAAGCATAAGCATTTTATAGGGATATCCCTACCTTAATGGGCTTCCTTGCTTATGTGCTTTTTTGGGGCCCTAAAGGCACTGCCACTTACGGACCAGAACTTGCGGCAGGGTGCTGCCGCATCTCTCTTCCGCTCCTGTGACGCAGTCTTCGGATTCCTGCTAGGCGCTGGCTCAGACAGCCAGGACCTACGAATTCTGGGTACCTATAGTTTTATAACCCATATTAGGGGACTTTATGACCCCCGCTTATAACTACCCATGAAGCTCCAAGCAGGCCCTAAACCCTATACCCTTATAGAACGCCCTCGAGATCCCTTTAAAGGAACCCTTAAAGGAACCCTTATAACTACCCATGAAGCTCCACGCAGGACCTGCGAATTCTGGCTGCCTGGCTCAGGGCCGTGCGCAAGGCCCAGCTCTGGCTGCCCACCGGCGACGTGGCAGCGCCCTTGCGGTGCCTGGCGCAGTACTTGGAGCCACTCTGCAGCGCTGCATTGATGGCAAAAGCCGAAGCGTCCGAGGTGGGAGTTTCCGAGAATGGGGGTACCCTATTTTGGGGCCCTTATAGTGGGGATCCTACTATTTTAGGGTACCATAATACTCGGTTCCCCCTATTTTCGGAAACTCCCAGGTGGCGCAGCAGCTCGCGAAGTGGCGCGGGGCCCCGAAGGAGACCGCGGCCCTCCTTGGTCCACTCTGTAGCAGCCTCTTCCAAGGGGACAGCTCCATGGAGTCAGAGCTTCGAGAGGACTCCTTGAAAGGTTGGATTATGATAAATGTGATCTACTGTATGGTAATATACTGTATGCCGTATGTATGTACATGTTCAATTAGTCAACATATACATATTGTAGTATACTGCTTTACATTATTATCGTAGGTTGTGTATTATATTTCATGCTATCAGAGTTTCCAGAGCACTCCTTGAAGAATTGGCTCCAATTGTATTGTAGTGTACTCTGGTCCTATATACTATATATATATATATATATATATATTTATTTATTTATTTATGTTTTCAATACACACCTATATGTGCGAGAGGACTCATTGAAAAATTGGCTCCTGCCTTTGCTGGTGGACCTGGCGGAAGACTTTTGGCCGAGAGCTGCGGTGGGCGAGCTCGACCTGGAGTCTTAGCAAAGGGGAGAGGTTTCAACTTCTTGACCATATATATATATATATATATATGCATATACATACATATGTATATATATATATGCATACATATATATATATATATATATATATATATATATATATATATATATATGTATTATTCATTTGCATGCATATTTTTCTATAATTATTTGGTTTTGGAGAACTTCATAATTTTCTTGGCCACGTAAAATATGTTTTTATCTTAGATAGTTGGAACATTTTGTTGTCCCGGGGTGTTGAAGAAGAGAGGACTGGGAGCTCATCGCCAGGCAGGCTTTTGCCCTGCTTGGTGAGGCCGCACAGACTTGGGATGGGACTCATTCTGTGGAGGAGTGTCTCAGCAAAATCGCATATTTGACGTTGAAGTGCCTTCGGCTCTAGAATTTCCGAACCATGGCCGTGCACTCCCGTGTCCCAGGTTTGACGATGTGGAGACCACCATCTCTGTCTGGCAGGCTTTTGCGGAAACACTGCACGCCGCAGTGCGAGCGGCAGACACCTTCAGCTTCCACGATGCTGGTCAGGCACGGTTGTAGCTACTCCACATTTTGCCAACAAGAATCCGTTGCTGCAGACCTTTTGGAGTTCAACCCTTAACCCTAATTAATTAAGTCCTAAAACCCTGAAGCGTATGGACCCTGCAAAAGTTTTACCTATGTAGGAATACAATGTAACATTGTATACTACCGCAGCATAATATTATAGCACCGTGCAGGGGCAGGTGGCTGCCTTCCAACCTCCCCCTGAGAAGCGGAGTCGCCGAGCCCACGACCGCTGGCAGCTCTCCCGACAAAATTTGGCCCAAGCTGCTTGGTGAATGTTTAGGGTTTAGGGGTTAGGGTTTCGGGTTTGAGCTTTGAGTATAGTAGTCCGCAAAACAACCCCTATAACAGTCCTTCTATCCCTTCTTCCGCACCAGTAAGGCCACGAGCATCAATTCCCTTTTCTCGCTCTTGCTTCAGACCTTGCTGGATTGCATGCGGCTTCCGGAATTCCCGGAAGATGAGGAGGCTCTGGAGATGCTACTAAGATCTTGTTAATAAGGAATTGAATTTAAGGAGCTTAACTTAAGTTACCATCATAGGGATCCATAGTAGCTAATCTGGCTTCTCTACTATGGCAACTTAAAGTAAAGTTATCACAGCAGGGATCTATAGTAAACAATACATGGTTTCTTTATTATGGTACCTCCAATTAAATCCCTTAAATGAGAGCCCA